GTGCGTATCTAGATGATATTGCCATCTATAGCCGCACATGGGGAGACCATCTGGGTCATGTGTCCAGGGTACTCGAACGAATCCACCTCGCAGGGCTCACTTTGAAACCCGACAAATGTCACGTAGGCCTAGCCGAGGTCCAGTATCTAGGCCACCGGGTCGGCTCCGGTAGACAACGCCCAGAGCCCGCTAAGGTAGAGGCCATAGCTAACTGGCCCCAACCCCGGACCAAAACCCAGGTACTGGCTTTCTTAGGGACGGCCGGGTATTATAGAAAGTTCGTCCCAGAATATAGCGCCCTGGCCAAGCCCCTCACGGACCTTACCAAAAAGGCCCTTCCCAAACAGGTCTCCTGGACCCCAGAGTGCACGGACGCTTTCCAGAAGCTCAAAGCGGCATTGAGTGAGGCCCCTGTGTTGGCAGCACCCGATTACACTAAACAATTTCTTGTCCACACAGATGCCTCCATGTTTGGGCTGGGAGCCGTGCTAAGCCAGGTGGGGGCGGATGGCATGGAACACCCGGTGGCATACCTCAGCCGTAAACTTTTGCCCCGAGAAGTCAGCTATGCCACCGTAGAAAAAGAGTGCTTGGCCCTCGTGTGGGCCCTCAAGAAACTTCAGCCCTATCTGTATGGGCGAGCGTTTACCCTTATGACCGACCACAACCCCCTGGTATGGCTCAACCGGGTAGCTGGTGACAACCCCAGGCTACTCCGGTGGAGCTTAGCTCTCCAACCATACAATTTTACCATGCAGTACCGTCCGGGTAAACAAAATGGGAATGCGGATGGACTGTCCCGCCAGACCGAACTGGACACCTAAAAACATACTTTCATCGGACATCCAGAAGCCAACCCGACAGGGTCTAGGCGGGTATGCCGACCTATGGACTTATAGGGGAGCAGTGTGAAGAAATGACTCCGTTAATCAGGATTTCTACCTTTTTTGTACAGTTAATTCACCAAATTCAGCTGGGATTCGGCATATAGCTTTCATTTCTACCCTTCGGATGGATTCAGGCGAATTCCCTGTGTAAAATATAGGTGGCCGCCATTTCGGCACTTTACACGTGGCCGCGGCCATTTTACGTGCGAACAGCGGTGTTTGCCCGTCAACGCGTGGAACTAAAATCGGATACGCAAACAGGCGAACACCGCTGAGACCTCCATACATCCAGAACTTCGCACGGGAACGACCGAATCACCGGCCGTTCGGTAGTTACATGCAACTTCGTATGGGGATTTCAACGATCACAAAGATGCGAATGGATGGCAGGGCTTTCGTCTCTTTTATTCGCCTAAACGGAGACCGACCGCAGGGCCAAAACTTATGGAACTATTTTCGGCTAGATGGTCCGTGCGGTCGGTCAAAACTTTAGTGTTCCATAACTCCCGAACCATTCATCCGAATGGACTGATTTTTTGATATGTTGTCCCCACAAATGAGAACTATCCAGCGGTACCCAATTTAAAGGTGTACCCCCTGTTTTTGGGGTACATCCAGAACTGGGGTAAAATAGTGCACGTTTTAATTAAGTTAACTGTTTATCAGAGGGGAGGGAGGTATGGGCTGTAACCTACACCTGATTGGTGATTTAATGCCTCCCCCTGGGTGTGTACTTTTTGTCTGTAACCTTAATAAAAAGCAGGCTGGAGATTCCAGACCTCAGATCTACTTGTATCCTGATTCTGGACTCTGACTGTTATTTGGGAATTCGTATGCTTTACCAAGGGGATTATCTTGGGAAGCTGTTATATTTCTTATGGACTTCATTGCTTAGAGCTACCTTAGACGCTGGCATTGCAGGAGGAATTATTAAAGCGGTTCAGCTATACTTGATTTCCTTACAGTAAGTATACAGAGCACATGTGCTGGGCAGCCTGACCGGGTGCTCCCGGTATGCCTCCAATGCAGAGGCATACCGGGAGCACCATTAACCCCGCGATCGCGGCGATCCGGGGTTAATTTTACCGCGTGACGGATGAGGTCCGTCACCCGTCGTTAATGGTCACCCGTCCTGAAGGGGTTAAACAACACAATGTAACTCCAACACTGAGTGACAATCAATTTTACCTGTTGTTGTGCAAATGGGATAGACAACAGGTGGAAATTATAGGCAATTAGCAAGACACCCCCAATAAAGGAGTGGTTCTACAGGTGGTGACCACAGACCACTTCTCAGTTCCTATGCTTCCTGGCTGATGTTTTGGTCACTTTTGAATTCTGGCGGTGCTTTCACTCTAGTGGTAGCATGAGACGGAGTCTACAACCCACACAAGTGGCTCAGGTAGTGCAGCTTATCCAGGATGGCACATTAATGCGAGCTGTGGCAAGAAGGTTTGCTGTGTCTGTCAGCGTAGTGTCCAGAGAAATGGAGGTGCGACCAGGAGACAGGCCAGTACATCAGGAGATGTGGAGGAGGCCGTAGGAGGGCAACAACCCAGCAGCAGGACCGCTACCTCTGCCTTTGTGCAAGGAGGAACAGGATGAGCACTGCCAGAGCCCTGAAAAATGACCTCCAGCAGGCCACAAATGTGCGTGTCTGCTCAAACGGTCAGAAACAGACTCCATGACGATGGTTTGAGGGTCCGACGTCCACAGGTGGGGGTTGTGCTTACAGTCCAACACCATGCAGGACGTTTGGCATTTGCCAGAGAACACCAAGATTGGCAAATTCGCCACTGGCGCCCTGTGCTCTTCACAGATGAAAGCAAGTTCACACTGAGCACGTGACAGACGTGACAGAGTCTGGAGATGCCGTGGAGAAAAACCCTGGATTTTTCCCAGCACCCAATAAAATGTCCCCTATTTGGTTGCCTTGATAATGCAGAATTTTCACTTGCATGTACAGAAACAGCAATTCCTATATGGTTCTCCTGTTTTGGGATGCCAAACTTTATCCCCTTTGATGATACTATTACATGCAAAGCATCCAATGTAAAGAAAGGTGCCATTTTTGGGGGTTCACTTAAAAATAATTGTTTAGGCACATCAATTTCAAAGTCTCATTTTACAAGTATATATATATATTTTTAATAGATTTACCTTTTATATGCAACGTGTGACAAATGTTTTAATTTCAGCTATGTCAGGATATGCCTAATTTTAATTTTTTATTATAAATATAAAGATCTCTTGGTTATGTGTACTAAATTGGATACTATAAAAACAGTGTCTTAATTTTTTGGCCTCTGCTGAGAAACTCGTTTCAGTCCCCTCTAAAGGAACACTATAGTGTCAGGAATACAAATGTGTGTTCCCGACACTATAGTGTTAAAAACACTATTTGGGGGGCCAGCCCCCTGCCCTCTTTAAATATAGTTAAACCTCATCTTTTTTCCAACGCTCTGCAGGTCCGCTGATGTGGGCTGCTCCACCACCTTTGCTGAGAGCTTCAGAATTCTGATTATCTCAACAAAGGAAACGGACCAGAACCAAATGCCACATTGGTCAATCTGCATCTCCTCATAGAGATGCATTGGATCTCTGCATGGAGTTGCTGAATGTCAGTGCTGCACAACCCGCGAAGCACCTCTAATGGCCATCTGAGTGACTGCCACTGGAGGTGTCCCTAGGGAGCAATGTAAATGCTGCCTTTTCTACATTAAGCTGTAGTTGTTCTGGTGACTATAGTGTCCCTTTAAGCTTTTACCAGCATTTAATTCAATTTGTAAACCCTATATGAGATACCTCTATTTAACAAACTTTTTTTGATGAAAGATTAAATAAGAATCATCCGAAAAAATTCCTGTCTCAAAAAACTTACCTTTTGGAAAAGACTGGAAAGACGGTAACTCCCAATGAGTAAAATCTCATTCTAAGCAATCAGTATACAGTTTTTGCAAATGTTTGTAACCAGAAATTCTATTTCTAGAACGTCAAATGTAAGAGCAAATTTGAAATGAGGGGTACAGATGATAAGAATCAACAAATATGAGTAAACTGTCCACTTGGCCTTGGTAGATGTGAGCAAATCTACTTTTCCTTTACATTATCAATGAACAAATTTACAAAAGTGAGTTCTACATTCATCACTGTGGCAGTTTCAATGATCTCTATATAGTAGGTGTTCAACTAAAAATCTTCCCAAAGAAAATCACAGGTTCTCCAGTTCTAGTTCCACAGCTCTATGTCCCTCATCATGTCTGACTGAGGTATATAAACATCCCATATCTAACTTAGAAAAATATATATCATAGAGGCTGATGCTTTCAGTTTCCAATTTAAACAGTAAATCAGATCATATTTAAAAAAAACAACCAACCGACTAGGTTTCAGATACCTTGGTAAGTGTGACTTCTGAAGTAGATGGGACCAGGAAGTAGCTGCCTCACTAACATAAGACCTTGAAGGGATACTAAAGAACGTTAATAAGTGCTTTACGTGTGTAGAGGGTGTCCTCTTTTTTTATTTTACAAAAAGAGCAGATATTCATTGAAATCTGCACTTTTATAGATGAACCTTGTTACACTCCCTGGCTGTCAGTCAATCAAACCAGTGAACCTGTTACTTTCTGGTAGTTTAGAAACTCAAGAGGCAGCAATAGCTCAAAGCACCATCCTTGCAAAGACTTCTCATTGAGCTGCATTGGGAAGTCTGTGATTGGACAGTCACAGAAAGTCTCAGCAGGGTTAGAAGGGGAGAGCTGGAAAAGGCTTCAGATATGAAAGTTGCAGCTTTTGCAGACAGTTTTTAGATATGCCCCCAATGAAGAAAAAAAAAACAAAACAATTAAATGCATGCATGTGTTCATTGGGGTGTATGTATAAGAACAGTGATTTAAAAAAAAAAAATGTATTCATTATTTGGGCAAGGAGTTTACCTTTAAGAGCAGAAAATGTATTGAAAGTGCTTACATGATCCTGAGGATGTCCCTGACACTAGATATTCAAGCAAACAAGCTTTTTAAAAATTGATTTGGCTGGAGGAGAGTGTGGTCAGCAATCACAGAAAAATTACATAAAGATCAAGCCTTTTGTATACATCCCTATGCAAGTCAAGTTTATATGTTTTTATATTCACATGTCACATACTGGATCATCAAGAGTAGCACTACATCACAGTGAAAAACTTCAGAAAACCATGTAAAAAGACACAGATATTCTCTCAACCTATATACATGAATAAAATATAGAATGCTATACACATTGTGCTTCATAAAACATCAATTTGTCCCTTTCAGTAGGTGGTTTTGATATCAGACAATGCATTTAATGAATATTAATTTTTATTCCATGACCCTTTGATACACGAACATGGAAATGGGAATGGTCAGAACACAGAGTGATTACGGTTTGAACTTAATGGTAACTTGGCTCACAAAACATTCAGCTTACAAAAATAAAAAAATAAAACAAAAAACACAGAAACCAAAAAACAAAACAAGCAAAAATAAACCCACCTTTACCTTTCCATGGGGCAGAAATAGACAACCGATACATTCATAAAATATTTATTTTACAGAACATCAAATTCAAGACACTACAACCTCAGCAGGTTTATTACAGTTTTCAAATATTATTTTAGATTTTTTTTTCGTCCATGCCAAAGAGCAAGAAACCAATAATAATAATAAAAAAAAGTTGTAGTATATTTTTTCAAACACAAAGGAGTCCAGAACCAGTTAATTTAGGTGAAAATTTTAAAAAATTATTTATCCAAATGTTCTCGTGCGTGGTACAGTACACGTTCTCAAGTAATCTAGAACATGGAATGCTCAGCATCTAATTATAGAAGTTAAGTGGATAGAAAAGATAACACTGTGGCTTTAACAACAACAATACATATTAAATATTTTTTCCAGGATAGGTCAAAAGCCAAGACACGCCTTAACTGTTTAAGTGCCATTACAATCTACTACGAGATACAGAACATTGTTATTCATTTTGCTAGTACTTCTGGCACTCAAAGAGGCATAGGAATGCAATATGGAAATCATACTTTTCCTAGTGTTTGCGATGCTGAGTAAAACTATATCAGTTATACATTTCCACATATAATCTACAGAATTCCTACACTTTTCACTCAATAAGATATTTTTTTTCATTTTATTTAGTAAACATATCAGATTATTATATTAACAGTGAAGGGTCAGGTCATTTAAACGAGGGCAAGTTTGGCACTTTTATACTGATGTCACCAATGTTAATATTCCGCGGGATCTCCGGAAGGTTCATATTCTTTACAGCAGACACAGCCCTCGCTGGAGCTCCTGCTAAACCAGTCTGTGTATAGGATATAAAGAAAGAACAAAAAAAAACAAAACACGAAATTAATAACTTTTTTTGCTTCTAATGAGTGATGGTAAACATAGCTTGATCCTAAAGGTCACAGCAGGTGCATGATATCTGAATGTTTGCATGAAATGAAGTAATATGAATTAGGGGTTAGACAGGTCACAAATACAGAGACACATAAAACGCCGACTTTAAGGTCTACACGATTAAAATACTTCACATGGGGTGTTGAGCTGTGAATTAGTTTGTTTTCATTTATATAATAAGACCTGCATGGTATTTCATGCTAGCTTAAAGCTGAACATAAAGTTTTTCTTTTAAATAACCCTAGTAAATTGAGGTTTTTGTGTATTAACTGAAAAACATGCTTGTGTACGTTCAAGTCACAGTCTAAACTTCTATAAACGAAAAGTGGAACCTTAAAGGATCACTATAGGCACCCAGACCACTTCAGCTTAATGAAGTGATCTGGGTGCCAGGTCCCTCTAGGATTAACCATTTCTGCTGTAAACATAGCAGTTTCAGAGAAACTGCTATGTTTACTTTAGGGTTAATCCAGCCTCTAGTGGCTGTCTCATTCACAGTGAGAAGATGCCAGCGTCCATAATAAAGCATTGAGAATGCTTTCCTATGAGGCTGGCTCTTGCCACGCATGTGCATTCAGCCGATGACGGAAGAAGAGGGAGGAGATTCTCCAGCACCGAGGGAGCCCGGTGCTGGAGAAAGGTAAGTGTTTAACCCCTTCCTCTCCATCCAGAGCGGCGGGAGGGGGACCCTCAGGGTGGGGGCACCCTCAGGGCACTATATAGTGCCAGGAAAACGAGTATGTTTTCCTGGCACTATAGTGGCCCTTTAAAGCAGGTTTGCCACTTTGGTCATTTTATGTGTATTTCATAAATATTCTTTATGAAGTACTCAAGTTGGCAGAGTTAGAATTACAGTAAAACTCTAATGCAATTAAAATATAACATTATACAAAGTAGCGACTACTTTGTCTCATAGGCAAAAGTCCAAGTTGACAAAAGGCAGAGCTTCCGCAATGAACTTTTCTCAACTATGGAATACAGAGACTTGTGGTCTAGTCAATAGGACTCTGTGCTCTACTCTCGTACATGGGCAAGAGTGCAGAAGTGATATTGACTCCTGGCAGATGAAGAAAAATGACAGTGCCTGTGAAGGAGAGTTTCAGGTAATTATACCTTCCTTTAGCATCAACAATGGATAGTCACAACCAAAGAGCCTCTTTAATATCTTTAGTGACTAAACACAGATTCTTTCATAGATTAAAATAACTCCATTTACCAGACAAAATTTCTTTCCAGTTGGTGAGAGCCCACAAATCACAATATATGGGATAAAGTCCCACCAAACCAGAAGAGAAATGCAAGGCTTCAGCACACTCCTCCCTCACTAATTCCGCTTCTAGAATCTTCACTTCTCCATATGACCAAGAGGAGGAGAAAGAGAAGCAGTAAGAACCAACAAAGCAAGCAGGGCAAGTAAAGCACATGCACGAGGCATCAACAATCAATCAATGAAGGGCAGGGACTTATAGTGTCTCGCAATGCAAAAGGAAATTCATTTGACAAGACGCAAACTTTGTTTCCTTCTTTGGAAAGTGAGAACCCACAAATCACGAAACAGAGCAGAACATGAGGCCACGTGTAAAATGAGCAATGACGTGACAAAAAGGTCACAACGGTCTGCCAAAGGCAGTGTCAACCAACTGAAAGCCACCAAAGCTATAACATTTAGATAATGTATTCAAGGAAGACCAATTGCTGCCTTTCAGTTTTCGTAAATAGAAGTCTCATGGTGAAAGTCTCATGGTGAAAGTCTCACTAGATAGACTCCTACGAGCAGTGACCCTGTTCAAGGGAGGCCTTTTAAATCATGGATTTTGTGGGTAAACTTGTTCAAACAGTGTCCCCATCAACCTATTAATCCCTGTCACTATGTGTAATACTTTGACTCGTTTGTTGCAAAATATTCCCCTTTATAATATTGCAAGGCACTGTGAAATATGTTGGAGCTATATAAATAATGCCAGTAGGTGAGAGTGGCAGTCAAACTCAAATGATGTCTAGAAAAACAAAAACAAACAAGAAATATAATTTACTAAAAAGTCTAATGGCCTCAACATACTAACAAAATACTAAAAAGGCACAAACAATACTATGCAATGATTTCTCCTCGTCATTCACTGGTGGAGGACAAAAGGAGGGAGTAATCTCTTGGTTAATATTAGCGGAGATAACCTTTAGAAAAAATGAATAAATGGACGTCTTGCACAGACCACACCCCTTTGTGTGTCCTGGTGCAGAGTGATGATGGTGTCCAATAGTATTCTTTCTAGCCCTATATAAGTTCCCCCCCTTGCTGGGAATTATTGCCCTGTTGTGGTTCTTGTTGGCCTGAGAGTGCTTTTATTATTACAGTGGGACCTCGGTTTACAAACGCCTCAGTTAACATAATTTTCGGTTTACAAATGAAAATCCATTTAAAATAATGCCTCGGTTTACAAATTTGTTTCGCAATACACAATTGCACCTGGGAGGTTTATAGCACCGCCCCCTGCATGCTGGAGCCTGTGGGTAGCACGTGGCGTCGAGTGTGGAGGTGTTGGAGTGGCTTTTGCATAGAGTTTTGGAGCCATTCTGGAAACTGTTTGCAGTTGTTTTGGGACTTTTTGGTGGAAAAGTAGGGAGCTGAGCTTCGTCGTTTGCATGCCTTTTACTGTATGTTCTACTTTGTGGGTTGGTTTCCATGCCAGCTCGTTTTGACTTATTTCTGACCTCCAGAATGGATTAATTGGTTTTAAATGCATTCCTATGGGAAACCGCGTTTCGGTTTACAAATGTTTCGCAATAAGAAATGTCCCGGAGAACGCGTTAAATTTGTAAAACCGAGGTCCCACTGTATTCTGCTTTTCCTGTTGCTGACCTGGTTTCGTATTTTGACTCTCTGTATCCCTTTTGACCTTGGCTTCTTTTCTCGTTCTTGTATACCTCTGTATTTCTTGACCTAAGCATCCTTTTTTTACTACGATTTCTTGCCTTTAGGCATACGTTAAGTCCGGCCACTTTAAGGTCTGGTATATGTATCATGTTCTTCCTTCTATTTTGGCTAACCTCCTTCACTCTGTGTGTAGGGGTTACCCCAATCCTGACAGCCAGTGACTGCAAAAAAGTTTGGATGTCTGGAAGAGAAACCAGCTTATGGTGCAAAAGCACCAAAACAGATAAAATCTTACCAAATGTTTTTGTGGCCAAACCCTTATCTAAGCTTTCCTGGAGGAATCCAAAATAAGGAGATTTTAAAAGGCTCCCACCTGTTCCTATGCGAATAACACACAGCAAGGTATAAATGCAGCTAGTAAGAGACTTGAAAGTCTGAAGCAAGGTTTCAATGAACATATCCAAAAAACATCTGGAATGTAAAATCACACGTTCAATTTCCATGCCATCATAGACAGACCCCAAAGGTCTGGATTGTAAAAAGGGAATTTGGAGAAGAAAGTTCTGCCATAAAGGCTGTGGGCATCTCTACCAGACTTGCATTCTAGTCATGCACACAAAAGCTATCAGAAGCAGATCTCGTGTAAGTTATAATATAACTTCCATGCATTTACCAGGGTCACAACATGCCTTCCTCCTGGCACTATACACATTCAAAAAAGAGGCTTGTAGAAATCTTGGAAATTCCAGCATCGAATAAGCTGGATGAAGACCTCAGGATGGAGATTCCACCGTCTTAAGTGCAAGGCCTTGCACAGTTGTCCTCTCAATGGTCTACAAAAGTAATTGGAATCAGCTATAGCTTCCGACTCTAGAGGATCGTGGGGACCACCCTCATGGCAGTTGACACAGGCAACCACAGTGCTGTTATCAGATGCAAAGCAGACATAAGTTTTCCAACAGAGTTCCACACCTCCTCCAATGCCTCGGCTTATGAGGTGAACAAGTTCCCTCTGCCCTTTGTGACTCCCACAAACCGTTCTTAAAGGAACACGATTGGACAACCAATGGACAGGAAATCCACCAATCCATGTAACACTCCCTCAGGTGATCCAAATGTAGCTGCTGCAAGAGGCCCTTGGATTTCCAATCCAGTTGGCAGAAATGGAACTCAAGAAGTAGGTTCAAGTGGAACAACTGGAATGGAAAAAGCTTAATTTTCATTAAGACCAAAATTAATTTAAAGTGGAACTGTCACCACCTGGGGACTTACCATAATTTGCAAAGACCTTTAATGGTTACATTGCAACTAGGGGTCCAGCCAGGGTAGGCAAAGGTGAGATTTACTAACCTGATCCTCTCCCTCGTGGGCACCATCATCCAGCCGTTCCTCTTCTGAAATGCCAGGAGCAGACGTCACTACTGCATGCGCAAAAGTACAGTATTATTACTGTCTTAGTATATGTTTTGACTGGGTAGGAATTTCAGTAAATTCCTAAACAGTCAATATGAGTATTTCATTAAGTTTTTCTATTTATTAAATACTCATTTTGCAGAGGGGTGGTGAGGGGGTGACAGTGCCACTTTAAGGAATAGAGCTTGCTTGTAAGGCACCAGCCACCTTTGTTTGCACTGGATTACTAGACAAGTAAGACCTTCCTGCAGACAGGGGGAGGCAACTTTGGCACTCCAGATGTTGTGAACTGCATCTTTCATAATGTCATTCAGCCACAATGCTGGAAAGGCCTCAGTGGAGATGTAGTTCTCAACTTGAATGCCAAAGGTTGCCTAACCTGTCCTAAGGGCAGCCAAGTAAGCAACACCCTGCAGACAATGATTAGAATAATTATTAACCCTCATAGAGTAGCAATAAGGATAAACATGTCCAGATAGTTTAATTTGGTACAGCACAGTTAGAGAGCCTTCTCTGCTTTCCTTTTGAACACAAAAGGACACTGTTGAGTACTTACCTATGTAGAGACTTTAGAGCAGGTGAGAATGTGGTCAAAAAATTCCATTCCATTGAACAAAAGTGTTTTCAAAATACAAGAGATGAACTGAACTGACAGGCAAACATATAAACATAGCTACTGTCCCAGTAAGTGCATTCCTTTTGAACAGGTTGTGTCCCAATAATATTCCTCAAATTACAGACTTGGTAAAGTGGAGGTAGAGTTACTGTCACTCCTTTACACCCTAGGGTCATACAGTGATGGAAAGGGTGGCCTAAGGCGAGAATGGCATAGAAACTGGCACTTGCCTAAGGTGCACCTTGATGCTTTCAACAGAAAGCCTATGCCCCATCTGGATCTCAAGCCTGGCCATCTACAAAGGGTGTAAACCCAATAGGGATAATTGAACGACCCAGGAAAGTAGCAAACACTGTATGTTTCCATTCAGGGTACAGTAAAACCCACTAGTGCAACACTGACAATCCTGTGCATTCATCGTTCAACCCGAGCCATATAGGACTTAGTAGGTGGACCAGGTGACCCTCCGTTGCAGACACAGCCTCAATTTCAGGCTTGTAAAATATATGTATAAGAAAATAAATCTTTAGAGTTTCATCTAACATGCCATCCATCATGGTAAAAACAGAACCATGGACTCTAAAAAAGGGGATAAAGAGGGAAGAAGCGTGCTGAAGCATGGTATAATGGATGTTTTTACTGCCTATGGGTAGGAGGGCCTTTATCAAATATAAACACAACTCGTGGGCTCACAACATCCAAGAAGAAAAAAATATTTTGAAATGTCATCTCGAGTACTTTAAAGAGTATGCACCATTAACATTATAGGTAAATTAGGACAGCAATAAAAGCCTGTAAGCAGTAAAAACAACGTATCCTACTGCTTGCAGCCCATCTTTGCCATCTAAATTTGGATGTGTAATAAGTAAAACTCCTCACCTGTGGATAGCATGAGCGCGGGGAGAACCATGTTTTTTGTCAAACTGCTCAAAAACTGGTTGACAAAAACAGGAGTAACTGCACCACCTTAAATAAACTGTTGTAGTTTTGGTGGTCAGTGTCCCTTTATGTGAGCATCTTAATGTGAGGTGCTAACTTAAGGATACCCTTACATGTATACTTGTGTAAAACTTCCATTCCTCGACAAGACAAAAGAGCATGGCATAATGATTCCAAAGATATCATTCTAACTACAACAAAGAGTTATGCTTGTTATGCTAAACATGTTAATAACTTAACAAATCTGTTTACCTGTAAGAGTTCTGCAAAGAAAAAGCCTACAAATACAAACAAAATATGATGACTTACCAAAGAAAATTCTATTTTTATTTGATTACAGGTCACATACAACGTTTAAACCAATAGAACTGTTAATGTAGACTGGAAACAATGATCCATCTCCGTGAAAAGAAGACAATTGTTTATGTCAGAGAGTGATTGTAGGATTTATGTGCATGTTTGCAATACTGTGGACATCAGTATGAATATCTGTCTTATATGAATATTGACTTGAGGCTAGTTTGAGGAACCAAGGTAGATAACACAAGGTCAAATATAGTACCTACCTTTAAATATCTTCTCTGCAATAACCTCATACAAGAGAAGACATAATGTTTATTGTTTCATGTTATATCCTCTATTTTTCCAGTAGGACATACAATATTTGTCCAAGTTTAGATCCTAAGAACCTTTTTCACTTAGAGTTTTTGTTAGCTCTACTATATGAGAATGCCAGTCACTCAACACATTCTCACGGAGGATTCTGAAAACCTTTATTACCCATCTAATTTCCTGAACCTAGGTGTATAACCTTTTGAATTAATAAACTTTTGGAAGGCAACCAATTTTCTGAGGAACATTACAACAAGCAATTTCATTTGTTATTTAACAAATGCAAGTAGTTAATCAACGGATACTGCATGCTGTATACGCAAACTGTCAAACTGTAGATGTAAACATGTTTGTTCAAACCAAAAATGGTTTAGTTTTATGCTTTTCTTACATATAACACACGTCAACAGCAGAAATGCAATGATGCGGAGATGATTCGTCACAGGCTAAACAATATGATCAATCTACTTCAATGAGGTTATACAAATGAAAGGATCAAGAGAAAGAAAACAAAATGAAGTCTGCAAGTATATCCAAATGCGGCCAAACTGCTCGGGGGCTTGTACAGACACTTGTTTAATTTCAATATATGGAATCACAAGGATAGCAATGCAAAGGAATGAGAACATATTTCATTAAATTCATTTGCCAGGTCCACAAAATAATAAAATGAAAACCAAGGGAAAAAAAAAATAATTCACAAAACTACAAGCATAACTTAAAGATAATGAACATCAAAAATGTGTATATCATGCGGTCAAGTCATGGTTTTGAAATCTATATAAAATTCCTACAGGAACAGTAAAGTGTTCAAGAAAACTTGCCTAAATACCATCCAATTTGTAGATAATAAAACACCTAATAATAAATATATTTGTATTTATTTTTTAATTAGATGAACTGGCAGTACAACAATGACCTGACATTGATACGTTAATCAAGATCGGTACTCCAAAATAAAGAGTCTGACAACAGTAGACAATTTATGATAATAAACAGGTAAATTCCAGTTGAAATCCTGAATTTCACAGACAGCAGCATGAAGCTGGTAATAAATGTGTGTTTGAAAAGAGAAACATATCAGTGCTTCTCAAACACCATTAATAGTCCATTGTAACGGTATCACCATCATAACACATTATAGGGAAGGCCTAGATCCTGGACCACTTATGATTCCAGAGGAAAGGTTTAAAAAGCATAAATTAGATAAGGTGTGCAATGTCAGCATTAGTTGTTTTTTCGTTTGTTGAAACTATTAAGGATTACCAAACACCTTTAATAAGATGTTTATTTGGGGTTCCGTCAAAAAATGTGAAAACAAAATGGCCGCGGACCGCGAGGGAGCAGTGATCTCCCTGTTCAGCTCCCTTGCTCGCACAGCAGTGATGCCAGAGCCGGAATATGACGTCACTCCAGCTCCAGCATCACTAAGAGGCGTGCGAGGGAGCTGAGCAGGGAGATCACTGCTCCCTCGCCGCCTGCACGCCGGTCGCTCAGCAGCCCCACTGGACCCCAGGGACTTCATGCCAGCAGCTCCACTGAACCTTTAATAAGATGTTTATTTAAAATGCTTTAGCATCTCTAAGTTTGAATGCATAATTTTGTGTGTTGTGTGTCTTTTTTTTTTTTTTAACATTATCTCAAGTCCCTGAAAGGACAGCTATCACCACAAGCTACTGGCACATTGAGTTATTACAGAACAGTTTTCTAAAGCAGTCATTGTAAAAAGTAGAATGCCATGAGATTGATTAAATACGGCAGTTATGGTCATATAACATAATAAAGAGCAGTTTAAAAAAAAATAAAAAATCTTAGTCTATAAGAACATGTAAACACAGCAGGCAGCGTTCTTTCTATATACAGTACTTTTTAAAGTTCCACACTCTGCACTATAAATTGCAGAGTGTATTTTTTGTTGACTGCATAAAGGGTGGTCTGTACCAGAAATGGATACAATATGTCTAACAATGTTGAAAAAGCATCACAGTAAAGTAACATGTCCCAAAATTAAATTTTATGACTATTTGTACTCCGAATATTGTAACAATAATGCTCTGTTGTGGGATTTGGATGTATACCAATATAAACTTATTCTAACATGGGTCATACCAATCTTAAAAATCAATTACATAATGTGATCTGAATGGGTTTCATATGTCATGAACTATAAGCGCCAGATGGTGCTGTCTCAATCTGGAGCCACTATGTCTGTAGCATAGAGCTCTGTTGTTTCCCTTTCCTGCACTTGTGCTAGAACAGACTTTGGGATTTCGGACCACGGCATGTAATTCTACAAGTGTGAATGAACAGCAACTGTCCTGACTTTTGATCCTGATTTGATCACTGAAGACTGGTTGGTGTTATATGAATGGAACTCTTTTCACAAACATTTTGGAGCCCTAGCCTTAATTCATTATTTTTGCCTGTGTTTATTTGACCTTGTGATCCAGACACTTCCCAAGAAGTCTGTACTCATGTTAGGACTCCTTTGCACAAGGTGATTTGCAAGGTTCGGTTATCTGATTTACAGCTCTACAAGACTAAGCAGAGAACTGCGTAAAAATGGAGCTGAGAGAAAAGAAATGAGAACAGGGATTGAAAGGTAGAAGACCTTGGTGGAGAGGACAGACCAAGAGTTAAAGGACTATTTCAATGTGAACAATACAAAAACATTTGGCTAAAATAGGGTTCTCATATCCTAAATAGATACGATCAATTATTTTAAAAAGTATCTTTTCGTGAACCCATTTTTGTATCTCAGTATAAACACATCAGGCAAAAGTGGCACGGTGACATTTAATATGTAGCACTACATAGATATGGTTATATTTTTAATTTTTATTTTCCAGCCGAAACTTCTACAAAGTAGGCAAAGCTGTGCAGATTACATCTATGAATACCACTATATCTCCACAAACGGTATCCCGCAATGCTATGGCGTCCTACTTTATATAAGTGTGCATCTGGTAACCCATATATTTTAAGTAGTACAGGACCACTTTTAAAATAATCTTGGAAAACTATTTCTGACCTGAGCACAAATGAGATTGAGTTCAAAGATACTTTTCTTCGAAAGTAGCCTGTCTCATGGGCCTTCTCAGGTTTGCTTTCTCTACCAAAAAACTGAGCCAGTTACAGGCAGGACCTAAACAGGGAAGGAGATTTCCAGCTGTCAAACTCTACCTCTGATAGAAGTCAAAGAGGCTCCTTCTTGTGTAAACAATAATATGTTTTTAATATTTGAAATCTGATATATCTATAAAAATGTTTATCGAAAACAAAATACAAATCAAACCAAATGTAGTTATATGGCAAACATAAATTCTGACAAGGAATAAAAACTTAAAGAGGATCATGCAAACACACAAACACTTGACACAACAACCATGGCTGTGGTGGATTTATACACGTATGTATGACGGTGGTGAGAAATATAAAAGGGTAATCCCCTATAGGTATATGTCACGGCTCAAGAAAATTATTTACATAAAATAGTTTAATGCCTTTTTCACTTGGTTGCTCTAAACCAGCGCTTCCCAATTGGTGTTCCGCGGAACACTAACTGGGGTTCTGCCAAAAGAATGTGAAAACAAAATGGCTGCAGGCGGCGAGGGAGCAGTGATCTCCCTGCTCAGCTCCCTTGCTCGCACAGCAGTGATGCCGGAGCCGGAATATGACGTCACTCCAGCTCCGGCATCACTAAGAGGCGAGCGAGGACCCCAGGAACTTCATACCAGCAGCTCCACTGAACCCCAGGGACTACATGCCAGAACTCCTAATGGTAGGAGGGCTGGGTGGAGTAAAATTTAAAAAAAAATGAATTTGTGTCTGTTAGGGAGTTTGTAGGTGAGTGTTTGTGTTTGTCAGTGAGAATGTATCTGTTCTTGTCAATGAGAGTGTATGTGTTTGTATGTGTGTCTGTCAAAGAGTGTGTGTGTCAGTGAGAGTATGTCAAAGAGTGTGTGTGTCAGTGTGTGTATCTGTGTCACTGTGTGCATCTAAATGTGTGTGCATGCGCCAGTATCAGTGTGTTTGTATGTGCCTCTGTGTGTGTATCTGTGGGTGCAAGTGTGTGTATGTCACTGTGTGTATCCGAGTGTTTGAGTGTGTGTGTGTGTATTTGGGAGTCAAGATGTGTGTATCTGTGTGCCAGTGTGTGTGTGTATATCTGTGTGTCAGATACATATACACACTGACACAGAGATACACACACTGGCCCATACAAACATAAATATAGACACCTTGACACACACCGGCACAAACACAGATACACACTGTGTTGTCAAGGTGTGTATCTGTGTGCCACTATCTGCCAGTGTGTCAGATATACAACTGGCACATACAAGCACATATATACACACCTTGACACCGGCACATTTATTTAAAAAAAAAAAAAAAAAAACGGCGCAATTGAAATTTCTTTTTTTCCAAGGGGAGGGGTATCACGATGTTGATACACTATGTCAAAGGGTTCCACGGGAAACATTTATTGGGAACCCCTGCTCTAAACTAAAGGATATTTTGTAAATGAGGCGACCACAAGTAAAAACAAAGTACTTGAATTCAAAGCAATAAACATATTACGAATTCCAGAAATGTGTGTTTTAGCCAAAGTCCATCACATGGCTATGTCTATGTTAACAAAACTCCACTTGACTTGTTCTACAGAGTGTTACTAAGAGGATGAAAAGTCAAGGATGACCTACTGGATTAGAATGTTATAGTTGTAAATGACGTTCTGAATGATATGCATAGTTTATCTTTTTTAGAGAAATTTTAAATAGGAAAAAAACCAAAAAAAAAACCCAACACTTCGCTCCCCCAAAAATAACTCTTACTGATAGTAGGGTCAAGGTAGATCCGTAGAAACCTGAGGATATAGATGTACATTAATGGTATTTTGTTTGAGGAAATTTATAATTAATAGAAACAATAAATCTAGGCTTTGATATCTGAAATATCAAGGCGATAGTGACAAACAAACAACGTGCTACTTGCTGAAGCACAGTCTATTTTCTAGATCAGGAGAGTGGATAAGAGTTAGTCCAGTGCTAGTTAATGTCTCTCAGTTGAGTTATGGATTGTGAGATTCAAACCAGTAATGAAAATGCAATTTTAAATTCTTGAATAGACATTCTATTAGTAACATTCAGCTAGAGTGTGAAATCACCCATCCAGTCGGAGAAATAACCAAGCTACAGCACCAGTCATCCAGCATTCTCCTTCGTTATACGCTATTTCATGTTAATTTAACCAAGGTACAGACTGGGTTAGAAAACAAAACAAACAAAAAAAAAAGTTGTTTCACATTAATGAACAGAAAATGCGTGAGTAAAGCACTAGTAAGGTTAATAAAAATGTAACTAAACAAAGAATAAAAATCAGCACTAGCAAAGCTTGTGTGGGCTGGCAGATATAAAAAGGTATGAAATTGTTCTTGAATGTCTGGCCTAAAATATAATGTCGGTGACATCATTTTGCTTTCCCATTCTCAAGAGTACACAAAGTACATTTGGTTTGTTAGTACCTTTGTCTACCTGTCCTGCCTGGGAGACTGAAAGATAAAGTTCTGTAAGAGAGAAGAACGGAAGAAGCTAAATCGAATTAGTAAAACATTTATATAGATAATCCTTCCTCGGGGACAATTACAGATCAAATCCGTAATGAGAAACCAGGTACAATGATGAAATCCACAGGAATTAAACAATTTCAATCAATTAGGATCATGGAGAGGTTATCGTTAAAGGTGTGTACAGGTTTTGCTTTTAGAACTCTTACCTTTAAAACATAATTAAAGAGGCCATTGTACAACTCTGGATCATACGGTACAGATGACGTTGATAGGATAATAAAAGAACACCTGTCAACATGCCTAACAAGTTATTTGTTTGTTGTTGGGATGCATTTCTACATGTAAGCCTAGACACAAAGAGAGAATTGTAATATACATTTAACTCTCTGGGAATTAATACTTTTCCATGTAACTATATTATAAAGTATAGCAATGTAAAAAGGGGACTACTGCAACACAGCCAAAAATGAAGATCACCAAGAAACAAGATGTGAAGCAGTCACATTTCCAGGTTAGTTTGCACCCTGAGTGGAATTGAATCCTCTCCACCTTTGAAGCAATGTGAATGCTGTTTGGTATTTGGCAACATTACTAAAGCCATTTGGAACTTGGCACAGAAAGGAAGACATCATTAAGATGAACAGGATGTGGTAGAAAATTACTATCATACTTTCTTAAAGGGACACTATAGTCACCTGAACAACTTTAGCTTAATGAAGCAGTTTTTTTGTGTAGAACATGCCCCTGCAGCCTCACTGCTCAATCCTCTGCCATTTAGGAGTTAAATCCCTTTGTTTATGAACCCTAGTCACACCTCCCTGCATGTGACTTGCACAGCCTTCCATAAACACTTCCTGTAAAGAGAGCCTTATTTAGGCTTTCTTTATTGCAAGTTCTGTTTAATTAAGATTGTCTTATCCCCTCCTATGTTAATAGCTTACTAGACCCTGCAAGAGCCTCCTGTATGTGATTAAAGTTCAATTTAGAAATGGAGATACAATTATTTAAGGTAAATTACATCTGTTTGAAAGTGAAACCAGTTTTATTTTCATGCAGGCTCTGTCAATCATAGCCAGGGGAGGTGTGGATAGGGCTGCATAACAGAAAAAGTGATTTAACTCCTAAATGACAGTGAATTGAGCAGTGAAATTGCAGGGGAATGATCTATACACTAAAACTGCTTTATTTAGCTAAAGTAATCTAGGTGACTATAGTGTTCCTTTAATAACCTTCTAAATTCCACTTTTTTTTGTACATGGCAGACGTCAAATGTTTTGTTTTTTCAACCAGCTAAGGCATACTAGATGCATATATTAAAATTTGTTGCCCTAACCCTAGTCAATCAAGGTTAAGAATTCACTAGGGAATTTCAAATTTTAAAACAAAATCGCTTATTTTAATGGTTTGTTTTTAAATTATAAGCTAAAAAACGGTCACGGTTATTCATTAAAGTAAGACTTGAATTTCACATTTATGGCACAAATAGCCAAACTATAAATGGAATTGACTTATTTCATATTTGGCCATTTTTGCCATAATTTACAAATTTATGTTGAATTTCAAGAAATTCTCACTTTCGCGAACACCCCTGTATGAGTTAGTGATTTTTTTTTTATTACTGCCTAAATATTGGAATTCAGTTTCCAGTTCACTGCAATATAGTATTTAGTAAATAAATCCCTGAACGTACGTCCTATAATATTTTCTAACTACCCAAGCTAGTAATTCTAACTTTAAGAAATGTACCATTTAAATCTTCGAAAATTACTGCTTCTATAATTTTATCAATATTTATCTAATGGTTTGATTTCACCACTTAAGAGTATTTTAGAAGCAGTTCGATGTAATTGACTGTTCTTAACCCAGTCAGTTTAAGTGTGTTTAATGAAAGATTTCAAAGTGCAATATTTACTTTTCTTGTCATTTAAGTATGTTAAGATTGGTTTCAAAATACTTGCAAAGTAGATATTACTATGGCCACATATGGTTAAAACAGATCTGTGTACCTGTTTACATTTGGCACTGAAATGAGAACATTTGGTTAAAAAAAACAAAACCACAATATTTCAAAACAGTCTGAAAACTGTTTTGTGTTAGTATATTGCACTTTCCTCAAATATGATTTCATTTTGCTGAGATTTATCAAAATCTTAAAATCTTGTTTTTTATTCTTTTAACTTGGAAATAATATCTAGTAAACCTCTATGATCCATTTTGGGTTACAACAAAATAATTGATTATTTTAATTTCAGGGATTTTCAAGTTTTAGGAATACAAAGATCTATTCCTAACACTACAGTGATCTCTGGTCCCACCTTCCCTCGTGGCCTCCCCCTTGCTGTACATAAAGGGTGAAAAAAAAAATCCTTTATTTACTTAGCTAATTTCAGCGCCGATGTCCCTCAGCACTGGGTCTGAGTCTGAAGGAGGAATACAAGAACTTTCAGTGTCAATTAAGGGAACTCTAGTATGTTAAACTCCAGGAAACGCCTCTAGTGGCTTGGTGACATTATCGAGATTTGGCCAAATCCAATGCTTTCCCATAGGGCAAGGAGGCGGGGCCTAATGCTTTTTTGGCCAATCAGCACCTCCTCATAATTATGCATTGAATCAATACATCGCTATAAGGAAAATTCGGCGTCCCGGGCAGCCCTGCTTAGGGGCAATGTAAACACTGCCTTTTCACTGAAAAATTACAATAGTGTCCCTTTAATTTATAAAAGGCACTTTTATAAACTGGGGTTAAACTAGGATACTCCTCACCCATAAAGCACTTCCGCAAGCTGAAGTGCCCTTGGGAGTCTGGAGTGGCCCTTTAACCCCTTAAGGACACATGACATGTGTGACATGTCATGATTCCCTTTTATTCCAGAAGTTTGGTCCTTAAGGGGTTAATTCCCTTTCCTCCTATGCTTTGTATATATCAAATTTTCCAAAAGTTATCTTGTACAGTTCTCCTCATGTAATTTATAATCTAGGAACGCATGCTCAAGAAGGCTTTAGTTCCATTTCCTCTGCAAGTACAAGATAAGGGAACCAATTCTTCAGTCCCAGACTTCCAGGAAGGTGTGTGTCATTATAGACCCAAGATTGTTGACCTGCTTTTAGGACAAAATCAAGTTTAAGATGTAAACAGTGTTGCTCATGCAGTAAAGTGTTTATGACCAGAGTGTATGTTCAAGTACCCATCTTTAAGCCTCACAAAAGGATACTTGTGGAGGCCTATTCCAGTGTGAGACATTTACCATTTCACATTATACTATTCAGATTTCCTTAGCTTTTACAAGTTTACTAGTCCTTTATGACTTATCAGGGTTTACAGTTTGCAGCTTTGAAATTCCAATATTAGCCTTTGCTTCCCTGACAAGAGGCTTGTGGAAATGTTAAGACCCTTTTCAACTCCCTCATCAAAATACATGTCACCCAAGCAGATCTCCAAGGTAGCCTTCTGTCAGAAACTTTCCTTTTGCCAATGATTTCAATTAAAATGTTATATCTGCTTCTGACTATTTTCCACAGACTTGCTCTTTTACATTACCTAAATTAATTCAGTCAGTGTCATTTCATGGCTATTGTCGGGAGTAAAACATTGCTATTAAAAATACATTTCTTATATAAAATCATTCTCCTAATGCCAAGGTCACAGACTGAACTAGAAATAGATTTTACCTGTTATATGACCTGATTAGAGCATGGAGTTCATCACTTGCCATGTCAAGAGTTTTTTTTTGTTTTGTTTTTTAAACATCAAAATTTAATGTGAAAGTATAATTGAATTCGTTAAACCATAGTTGACAATACAATGTTTTTGTTACTATAACTTGGACTACAAAGATACCCAAAAGCCCTTTGCTATTTATGGATGGCCTCAATCCTAACTAGAGTAGATGTGATCGGAGCAGTGTTTTTGCTCTCCAGTGGATAAAGAATAGTTAAAAACTGCACCATTTCCATGTTTTAAAATATTGAAGTTAAAGAGATACTCTAGGCACTATAACCACTACAGCTTACTGTGGTAATCATGGTCTTAGAAAGGCACTATCCATCAAACTTTTTGCTTGGCTACAGCAAAAACTGCGTGCTCATGCCAGGCCCAAGACATTCAACACCACATTGCTATTAAAACAAATCTGCTGTGTAAGAGTGTTCCATTAAGAAATGGTTTGGGGACGGTCATTGTAACACATATGAACCTTCAAATCTTCTGCTTTTTGTGGGTACAGGTTCAAATAAGAGTTGAAGAACTCACAAGGATATATATACACCTTTCAGTCGTTGCCAAGATTTTGGTCTGAAATTACAGTATTAAAAATAAATTTTAAAAGTTCAGGCATGACCTTGAAGTTGGCCGATTAGTAGAGGCAATGTGGCCTGCTAACATAAAACTCAGCATGAGCAGAAGACATCCCCTCCTAGGACAACAGCAAGTTCGTCAAAAGAAGCTTAATCAACAAAAGTAGTTTTTTTCAATAATATAAAGATTTTGTGGAAGCACGTTTTTCATGGTAAAATGGGATTAGTACGGAGTCTTAAAAAGGTCAGGTTTTTTTTTTTACTCATTTGGCATTTCCTTATATTCCGTTTTATTTAGCAGATTAGAGCATTTTCAAAATGAACAGGTTTCTGGACAACGTTCATGCATAATGATATAGAAGGGATTTGTCTCACATAACTTTAAAAGAAACATGCTAAACAATTTAACCACTGTGCAGAATAGCACTTTCCCAGTTTAATATGAAACCTTTCAAAAATGCTTTGACATAAACTAGGGTTATTTTAGGGGCCTATGTATCACCTAATCTCTGCCATATCTATAAGGAAAAATTAACACTTATCTTGCCCAACCTGGATAATCAGTATTGGAATAAAGCATTAGGCTAACCTGCTCTCCGCTAACCACCATAGTCTATGTTGGAGAATATAGACACTGATAATGTGGAAGTGTTCATTTATCAATGCAGTTAAGATGGTCTTTGGGTACAAAGAAGAAGAGCCCTTTAAAAATAAAATTATGCTTACCTATAATCCAATGCCGCAATAGACTCCTCAGTAAAGTCAAATCCTTCTATTGTGAGATCATCAACATTTGTCCAATCAAATGCTTCTCTAAGTAGAAATACTGCGCACACACAGCAATCATCTTGATCTACTAAGCCAATGCTTCTTTTTGGATGCACACACGTTGTCTGGTATAATTTAATCCGACGTACCTGGCTGGCTGACAGAAACTAGGGATGTGGGGACTGCAAAATCTAAACAGTGCCCATTCTCAGTAATGGCACCATTGTGAACAGCAAGGCATCTATAGCACAACATAATTTCAAAAAGAGTAAGTGATTTTGGCGCTCGGGGTGTCCCTTTAATCTTGAGAGAATAATAACGAGCATCCCGGGAAATACCTACAGAATGCAAGCAGCTTGAATTATTACCTTGTGGATGCTGGATTTGTCAACAACAATAAAGGAATTGTTATTTGATAAACAAATAAATTGTAAAACTGCCTTCATTAAACATGTATTAGAAAGACAGCTAGCCAATAATTGGGCAAACTAGATGGGCTGACTGGTTCTTCTCTGCCGTCACATTCTAGGATTATTAATATAAATAAATATATATATATATATATATATATATATATATATATATATATATATATATATATATACACATATATACATATACGCACACACACACAATTTTTCCTACCGGTATATATCTGTGAAGCCATGCCAACATTGTGGCAGCCTTTAACTGTTAGAGATCGTAAAATAAATACAAATCACCACCACCTGAAGAAACAGCTCCTGTTGGAAAGAATTAATATATCTATGGTAATATTATTTTAAAGATTCAGTCTTTAACATGTTGACTTAGATTTGTGTGCATGTCATGGCGTAGTTGGTGTAAGCTCAAGAATTCAGTTTGTTGAAAAGAACTGAAATTGACCACGAGTTAATATTTTTTTTTCCAAATGAGGCACATGCCCTGAAGAAAATCCCTTTGACACTTTTTGTGGACATCATGAAGTGAAAATGGGCTGCTTGCAAGACATAACTCAGTAATAAAGATTTGCTTTGAGAATATGCAGAAGAGGGCAATGTTACCGTTACCAATGGCATGTGAACTTTTTGAAGGTGAATGTTACACAAACTGTTTATGAGCATAAAAACAAAAAAACAGGTCATGTAGAAAGCCGAGCAGCACCTCGCTCTGTTACGTAGATTCTTACCTCAGATTTTTCCAGTTTGGTTTGAGCATCAATCTGAGTAACAATTTCATTCATGTTTGTTTCTAGTACCATACCTCCCATCACCATTTCTGCAAGAATGTTATGGACCTGAGGAAACACAAAATACAACTGTCTGTTCATGCTGACATGTCAAATATAATAGTTCATGCCATCATAAGAATAAACATTTCCAGTATACATGTTAGGATATGCCTCTCCTCCAAAACACAATCCTTCCTCCTAGGCTCCATATTCTCTTCTCACAAACACCATCCTACCTCGTAAGTCAGATATCCTCTGAGAATTGCCAGCAATTCAAAGTGAATATGTAATTTAAGTCCTATGTAGCCAAACTGGAAGCACTTAAGACTTGGAGAATGTTTCCAGTTCAGCTATTTTGGACTTAAATTGTAATTTCACTTTGAATTCCCAACAATTCTCACTTCACTTAATAACCCTTCTTGTGTCAGAAGTCATACATTAAATTCAAAACATTAGGCAGCATTTGTGGCGGTTCATGCAATTTAATATTGCAACCACCATACCACACCTCTCTAGCAGGCACCCTGAGGTGTGCCATGGCTGCCAATGTGGTATACCTGCAAGGATCAGATCTACATAACTGTATTCCTAGCACAATAGTGCCCTCTGGGCTCATTCCTTAGCAGTCGTTTAGTCACTTATCAGATTCCAGCGCAGATGTCCCTCAGCCCTAGTCTGCGCTCTGCCTCCTCCGTCGAGGACCCTAGTGTGCATGCGCAGCAAGTGCTGCAAGCACATTAGGCCATTCCTGTAAGAAAAGCATTGAAGTAATGGTTTCCTATGGGGGTTTAACTGAAACTGGATATTCTCATGCAGAGGATGAGGATGTCCAGCGTCAGGTGAGCCAAAGTCCAATAAAATCCTGGAAGAGCCTCTAGTGGCTTTCTGGAAGTTCATACTTCCGCATCATCTTTTGGAATTCCTACAGGTTTAAACAGTATCAAATGGCTGTCAGCTGATACTCGCAGACAATAAATAATGTTTAAACTTACAATGAGCTGGTATGACAATGTGGATGTATGAACGTCTGCTTTAGCAAATATACTCAGAATGGAAGAATAACAGGCTCTGTACACATTAAAGCAAGTGTCAAAAAAAAGTGTTATGCCAAACTGCTAATAAAAGAAGAACACATCCAAATATCCATATTTAATGAAAATATATGAACTGTTTGGTAAATCCACACACATACACACACACATACATATACACACACTAATGAAGATCATAACCATTGCTGCCACTCAATAGCAGTGGGAGTTTGGGTACAGGGCTTATGTCTATGTTTTTATTTGCTTTTGTATTACAAAGTCATGATATGGTCTAAACAACTCATCATTAAAAATATTTAATGCATATTTAAAGCTGTTTATGGTGCCAGAAGTACCATGGCATTTTCTCATAGAATGAAGAACAAATGATCTAAAATAGTTTTTAGAGAGGACACCAGATTGATCCCTTAATTTTAAATATCCACACAAACATTCAAAACTCTCAAAAATAATCCCCCCATTAACATTTAGTCCCTAGCTCACAAGAACAAACCTTCACTTCATTCTGCCAATTTTTCCTCGTCTTTTATTTACACCATCCACATGCCAAGGCAAGCACATGACTTCACAGGGGCAGCCTCATTTTAAGGAATGTCAGGAATTGTCCTATCAACCTTTCTCTTCTCCTTACAAAAAGTACCTAAAGCCTTCTCTCTCTATTGGAAAGTCCAGTATCTTCTTAGGTAATTCCTTTCTTAATACCAATCAGCCCCATCTACCTATCTATTGATTTAGATCACATATAAACTGAACAACCTGAGAGGGGGTGAAGCATAGAAAGAAACAGCAGGGTAGATAAAATAGAAAGTACAGATGAGAGTCGCTGTCCCCCCTCCCCAATATGTTCAAAAATGCTGTAATATGGTCCTCATATATATATATATATATATATATATATATATATATATATATATATATATATATATATATATATATATATATATATATATATATACATACATACATACACATACACACACACACACACACACACAATACCATGCAAAAATCAATAGGTTTTCTCTTTCTCAATCTTTATTCATATATAAAAACACTGTTGCACTGCGGAGTACCAAAGGATTGTGCCAGGCATAATCTTGCCTGGCATTTAAAGAGTAAAACCACTTATGGAGCAAACATAATTCCCTCTAATCTTATTTATGCCATTTAAGAGAGTAGTCTACTCCTGACCTTTCAGAAAACCAAAGCAATATTTCTAAACCGCTTAGATAAAACTTCATCGCAGGGACTCTTACTTTTTCTACTTTCCAAGCAAACATTTTTAATGCCTGTAAGTTTGAACCTTGTTACAATCTGCATTTGTTGCATTTAAAGAATTATTTGCTATGTCTAATACACTTAACACACTAGGAAAGTAATGCATGTTATTAGTTGTGTGTAGCAATGATAAATTTAGAAGCGTTGTCTGCATTATTCCATACTGAATGGAAGAAATTGACACAAGCCAGCTTCTTGTTACCATGTCTCTTTAAAGGGACATTCTGGGAGGATTTACAACTCTGAATGAATTTTAGACAGAATTCATTTATTTTTTTCAAAGAAATTTAACAACAAATAAGATACTTAACTTCTCTATCCTATGGATTTAATATGCCTCCTCTGAATCTCAAGGGGAAAAAAAAACAAAGCAACAAAAAGCCCTCAACCCAGAAACTGGATTAAAAGTGTGTGTAATGTGACCACAAACAGAACTAAAATGGTAAGACACGTGTGTGTTAATGATGTCACGAGCGCACATTTGTTTCTCAGTGATAGAAATGCTCAGGGAAATGCTACGGAGGGCAACATTTTTCCAACACCCTTTTGTGATAAGTGACACACCAGACAACACATCCCTTAAGAATGAATTACATGATGCCTGTAACGTGCAATCAGGAGCTCCAGAACAAATCCAGTCTCTTTACAGTACGTTTCAGCAACCACCAATTCCCCGCAAGTCAAAATCCCCAAAATGTAGCGCACAAAAAAACAAACATTTCCTGAGTTGGATTTGCATTTCTACTCTCATAGAGATAATAGGAATGAAAGACGGATAGGTATACATCGCATAGTGCTATTCTACTCTACAGAAATGTTTATAAAAACTATACACAAGGGGCATATACTAAATGGATGTAGGGGAAAAGAAAGTGGGAGATTTTTTTATTTAGCTGCTCTAATGGTGTATTTCAAGATTTTAAATAAATAATGCTTAAAGGACATGCTGGAGTGTCCCTTTTATTAAAATATTCAATATTACAGCACAAACGTAGCAAGGATGACATGTCAGATACACATTCTATAATTTTTAAAAGGGAATTTTAAGCAAAATACCTTTTTTAAAGAATTATAAAAATAATGTGTTGACATATATTACCAGAAAATACATGAATTTCAAATAGTAATTAACCATGCTTTGTAGCCTCTTTTATATTGTACTGCTGAGCTATCCCACAAACCCTCACAGAGCAGAGCATTAGCAGCACTAGTAGGTCAATTGTCCGTTTTAAATTGCAGAAAGCACACAGCTGAACGCTCATAAACCTTAGCTGTATGACCCTCAGGATAATACAGCTGTAAGTAAGGTCATGTGCAGCTGTATTATTAATATCAAAACAAATGAATAATGAAGTGTAACTGAATCTACATGTAGCAGGTTTGGGTGCCTGTAGTGTCTCTTTAAAATGGACCATTTGAAAACAAATAACCAAAGAGCAAAATATGGGCCAAAATACAAAAACTGAGAAGCATTGCAACTAGCTGTTTGGCAGTTAAGTAAAACAAAAAAAAAATGGCCCTGCAGAAAATATGAATGATTGGCATTACCTTTGAAATGAGATTCTAAGGAAAAGCTATTTTTATTTTCAGTTCTGAATACAAGTTCACTCAAGTCAATTTCTAAATGTAAAATTGATAATTGCATTTTAATTGGAACTAAATCGAGACAAACCAAACGTTTTTAATCACATGACTTTAACAGTTTGTAACGATACAACCCTGGCATCTCTGTTACTGAAGGCACAACAGTTCAAGCCTAATATTATTTGTTAACTTTCACAGCTGATATTGCCACACGATATTCTATCTATCTAGTCCTCTGGTAATACTCTATGAGTGAAAAAACAAAAACAAATTCCAGTATGGCACTAAAAATCTGATATTACAAATAAATACAAATATTTGAAAAAAGCAGCACTATAGAATGTGAAAAAAGCTCCAATCACATGTATCAACATTAACCAAAAAAGTGCGCTGTGACTTTAAGACTTTAAATAAATACGTTATAGTAAAAGTGTAACTTTACATAAAACAATTGGTGTAATATGCTTATACCCAAAGTGCCAATGTGCACTGTACTAAAACACACTAATATGTGTATTGTGAAAAAATTATGAATATAATAAAACCACAATAGTGATGTAAACGCCTTACTCTATTTTACTCACCGAGGAGTATCCTACTCTGCTTGTCTCAAGGTTCCAATAGGATATCTCAGAAAAGAGAAAAAGTACAAGCACATAGCGCAATATGTTATGTAAAAAAGTATATCATATTCCTTTTTACATAACATATTACCCTATGTGCTTGTCCTTTTTCTCTTTTCTAAGATATCATATTGGAACATTGAGACAAGCAGAGTAGGATACTCCTCAGTGAGTAAAATAGTATAGTAATAATAACACATATTACGGTGTTTTAGTACAGTGCACGCTGGCACTTTGGGTATAGGGTATTTAAAAGTCTTAAAGACACAGCACACTTTTTTTTTAATACTTTAGGAGTAACTACTCTGTAGAGGACAATAAATAGCAATATACCTGTGAGACCTCAAGGAAGAGACAAACAAGTTTCTTCTTGGTTTAAACAACAGCACCAACTTCAACACTCAAGACAAGGTGCTGCAGCAACTAAAGAAAGTTAATATAAACAAAGCTCCAGGGCCTGACGGTATCCATCCACGTGTACTTAAGGAAGCAATGTCAATCAGCAGTGGCCAAGGCCAGTAAGGTATTGTCATGCATGAAAAAGGGCATTCATTCTCGGACAAGAATATAATTTTGCCTCTTTATAAATCACTGGTAAGACCCCATATTGAATATGCTGTGCAATTTTGGGCACCTGTTCTAAAGAAGGATATTATGGCACTAGAAAAAGTGCAGAGGCGGGCTACAAAATTAATAAAAGGATTTAAACCTATTTAGTTTAGAAAAACGTCGCCTGAGAGGGGATATGATAACATTATACAAATATATTCGGGGCCAATACAAACCATTGTGTGGAAATCTATTCACAAACCAGACTTTACATAGGACACGATGCCGTGCGTTTAGACTGGAAGAAAGGTTTTTTTACAGAAAGAACAATCAGGATGTGGAATTCTCTGCCTGAAGAAGTGGTTTTATCAGAGTCCATACAGATGTCCAAACAGCTACTAGATGCATACTTGCAAGAACAGAATATTCAAGGATATAATCTTTCAATGTAGGGTAATAACTGCTTGATCCAAGGATAAATCTGACTGACATTCTGGGGTCCAGAAGGAATTTTTTTCCTAGCTTGTTGCAAAATTTTGCTTCAAACAGTTTTTTTTTTTGCCTTCTTTTGGATGAACAGCAAAAAACAAATGTGAGGTAGGCTGAACTTGATGGACGCAAGTCTCTTTTCAGCTATGTAACTATGTAACTTTATTTCACAGGCACCAGGGTTTTTAAATACTTAGCACACAATACACAACTATATTATTAATTTTAGTTATTTTCCCCCTTTGTGCATGTTCATCCTGACAACAAAGAGCTATCTAGATCGGCTAGGCAGATATCTTAGCATGACAATCTGTATCACAATATGTTTTTGGTCCCAGCTGGAGGGGAGAGGCTCTGCCTCTTGTGCCATATCTGTAGAATAACTTTTGTCACACTGTTAAAACAGTTTTAAAAAAAAATATACATGAGACAATGTAAGTACTATTTTGACTCATGTAACAGGTTTTGGTAAAAAGGATGTGTTGATGTACAGTAGTGATGATGGCTCCTGGCAGGTGGCTTTGACGGAAGCTGCAAGAAGCTGAAGCAGTTTGGTGACAAGAAGTTAGTGACACGTAGGAAGAACATTTTAAGGTAAAATATATTCAACAAACAGATCCACATTGGCCATCTCTACAAAGCAGAAATCCTGACAGCACATTAAAACAGATACGTTCGATATGGTTCCACACAATAGACTCAAAAAATCATGTTCTTTGGCAGAACACTGGCTTAAAGTTAATAGTACAGAGAGTTGTCATTAATGGTAGATTTTCCAACTGGACAAAAGTGTACACAGACACCTTTTTGAGATTTATTAGCTTGTCCCTTAATGAAAATCCTTTCCATTCAGCAGTCAATTGAGAGGAAGCAGAGGATTTAGTATTTTAATGAAAGCCATGTGTCAGTGTTTGCAGTTGATAGAAAACTAGGAGAGGGAATACATGGTGAGCAGGACATTATGTTGCTGCAGAGGGATTTTAAGAGATTAAGATAGTGTCATGTATAAAAAAGGGCATTCATTTTCAATATAAAAAAAATAAATAAAAATAAAAATTTGCCCCTATATAAATCAATGGTAAGACAATACCTTAAATATGTCACACAATTTTGAGCACCTGTTCTGAGGAAGGATGTTAAGTCACTAGAAAAAGTGCAGAGGGGAGCTACAAAATTAAAAGAAACAAAGATTTCTTTTTTTGGGGGGGGAGAGGGGGCTAATAAATCTAAATGTGTTTAGTTTAGAAAAACCACAGTTGATATGATAACATTATACAAATATTTTTGGGGCAAATAAACCATCGTCTGGAAACATCTATCAACAGGACTATACACAGGACACAAGGTCATGCATTTAGACTGGAAAAAAGGAGATTTAGTCTAAGACAAAGGAAAGCGTTAATTACAGTAAGAACAAGAAGATGTAGTTTTATCAGTGCCTGTACAGGTTTTTAAATAGCAACTAAATACTTGCAAAAGCACAATATTCAGAGATATATTTAATGTGTGTTAAAGCTTCTTGATCCAAGGAAAGATCTGACTACCATTCTGTGGATGAAAAGGATATTTTCTTAGTTTGTCGCAAAATTGGAAAGAACTTGAGACTAGTTTTGTTGGCGTCTTTTGCATCAACAGTGGAAGCAGATGTGAAAAAGGCTTAACACGAATGCTTTTTTCCCCAACTTATGTAATTACTGTACCTTGTCTACGTGGAAAATTAAATCCAGTTCACAGACATTTTCAAAGCACTTGTCCAAGGTTTCCACAAAGACCTGTGAATATAGCAAACAGGTTATATGAGAAATAAATATGTAACACAAAAAGGAACAGCGTCCTGTAGCGAAGAAAAGAAAAAAAAAACAACCACATCAACAAACAACATACTGTACAATAACCTTTAGGAGTGCCAGAAAAGTGACCAAAGGAATACTGAGTTTATTTACAAACTATTTATTTGTAATTGGCAGGGGGAAAGAATCTACTAGCTGAATATAAAAAGAGCAGGTTTGTTAAAATTAGACTTAAATCACACTTATCAAGTAAATAAGTCATGCACCATAAACTGTGTATGCATGTACAATTTGAAGGCTCTCTTCCCTTGGAGAAAGCGGAGCTCCGAACTGCAAGTATCGATAGCAAAAACATAGCCCTGGTTACAAAAACAGTAAATAGAGCTGTGACTAAACGGATAGCAGGCCATACTGTGTCTATTATCTTGCCCGGGACACTGATCATCAAGTACGGATGATGTCTGGTATGCTTGGATTGATAAAAGACGTGTCCCATAAGTCCCCTTTGGACAGAGGTTTATGTGGATAAGACCTGTCACCACAGTACAGAATAAGATACTTATGGTAGGGATGTGCCCACAGATTCACCAAGCAATGCATTTTACATATCTACACTTTAATTTTTTATATGTATTTGTCAATACATTATATGCACAATAGTGTTACCAGCTAAAATATTAAATTGTCAGATACTGTTGATTTTAAGGCAAACTCTTTACAGCTAAAATTCGAAAAATTTTAATATAAATATGTAAAGGGGTACTCCAAGTTCCAATACCACTGCAGCTTAGTATGTTGCCAAAAGTCTCAGTCTCTGGGAGCTGTCCCAAGGTTGTCAAACCATTTATAAGCAGTCTGACAAAACCCCCCCAAAAAAAAAAAAAAAATCATACCTAATTACACTCAGACAATGCCCTCCTCCTGCAGAGATACCATGGAATTAATACATCTATATTTTCAATATTAATTCCATTAAGCCTAGACAATATTTAAACAGCTGATGCGGAGCTCTGATTTTTGTCAAATCGCTCCTAGAGGTAATACTTCTAGGTGGTATGGTAATAATGCTAAACTATTTTTACATTACACTGTGTGGCACCAAAACCCGCAGCTCAATATTGTACATATATTTAGGTATTACATGGCTAAATATTCATTTAAAAAAAAAAAAAAAAAAACCTGTCAAAATTGTTTTTTTAAAATAATTATTGAGCAAATGTAAATACCCTCCCCAAAGGCATTTACTGTGGATGCACCATTCGAATAGGAAGAGTGCAGCAATAGTTTTCGAGATACAAACTCTTGTTGAACTCCGAGACATCACAATGGGAATAGCTAGTACAATATGAGCCCTACCTAGTCCCAATTCACAATGTTTACAAGTATGTGCACAGAAATTATTTAAAACATGCTAATAGCAGTCAGACAGAATTACAAATAGTTTAAATAACTCCTATATAACCCTTTAAAAACACATGAAAAATCCCATGATTTGAAGTACATAATGGGTTTCCATATAATCAAGGGGCATGGTTCTAGTAGTGTTTGGTAGTTGTAAGAATGCATGCTTATAACATTTCGGGCAGTTTTAAGCAAAAACAGATAACATTCAGTTTTATTTTTCTCTCTCTTTCAAAGATTTATTTTCAGAATGGGCAACACCCTGTTCTTGTAAGAATCTTCTCACTTGGGACAGTATCATTAATCAATCTCGTAGAAAACACAAAGAGAATAGAACAGCATTCTCATATTGCATAAGCAAGAACAACATTATTCATATCTTAATATACTAACAAAGCAATTGCCTAATGCTTCTAAAGTATATTAACTGAATGCTCAGAATTTCAAAAGGCTGTGTAAAAATATTTCTCCTTAAAAGACCACAAACATGTATTTATCTCCCTGGAGTGTAAAAACACCATCTAGCCCCCCTGACCCACCTAAATATAGTAAAATTGTACCATTATTCCAGTCTGCTGGTGCTGCTCAGCCCCTGATCTACCTCCTTGGCTGACATAATCGAAAGTGATGATCTCAGCCAATCGCAATGCTTTCCCATAGCTGCAGGTAGATTACAGCTCCCTCGCACGCAGGTAGAGAGAGCAGCCCACTGGACCCCAGGGAAAGATCTACTCAAATCTCCCAACGGTAGGGAGGCTGGGTAGATTTTAAATAAAATAAAAATCCCAGTTTGTGAGGGAGAAAATGTGTTTGTGTGTGTCTGTGTGCGTGTCAGAGAGTGTGTGCACGCGCGTGTGTGTCTGTGTCAGAGAGTTCTCTGTCAGGGTGTATGGGTCTGTTCAGGTACCTGCCCCCTTCCAATCACACAAGAAAGGTGGTTTTACTTACCTTTTTTCCCCACTCAGTGCCAGTTTCGCCATGGTTGGTCCTGCCTCCATGGCTGAAAGGATCAGTCTTTATGATCTCAGCTAAGGGTGGATATTGCGCATGCGCAGCAAAACAATGTGTAAATCAGCATCTCCTCATAGAGATGCATTGAATTAATGCAACTCTATGGGGAACATTTAGCACCTCCATACAGAGCATGGAGATGCTGAACGTAGGTGCTGCACTCTATGCAGCACTGACCTAGGACTCTGTAGTGACCATCTGAGTTACTATTACTTTCTCTGAAAAAGCAGTGTTTACATTGAAAGGTCTGCAAGTACAGGCTTTACACACCAGACCCACTACATTAAGCTGTTATGGTTCTGGTATCTTTAGTGTCCCTTAAGAATTGCATTTTTCTCGTTGAAAATTAAACTTAAAAAAAAATAAATGTAAAAAAAAATAGGCTCCTAGATTCTAAACAAATTTGTAAAGCCCTGGTATACTATATTATAGTAGATAAAAAGAACCTTTTTGAGAAGTGTTCGATATTCCTTAAGGTACATGTCATCAACGCAGTAGATCCAATAAGTAATCACGGACAACAGAGATCCTGCTTTTCCATCACAGAAAAAAGAAAAACGTGGGTTTGATGTGTTTTGCTAATGAAAAATGAAAGGGATTATTTTCTGCAGAGGCGGTATGGTGCCATCTACTGTTCACAGCATGGAACTGTCGTTAGCAAAACAACATTTACAAATTCTAACCTCAGCGTATAAAAACTGGGTCAAGAAATATCAATAAAATGCAATAAATCTAATGTAAAAATTATATACTTCTAATATTCAAATTAAAGACACTTGATGCACATAATAAGGCAGGCAAGAGAAAAACCCTACAAAGATTGTTATGGATATACATAAATTAAAAATTCATGTTATAAAAATTATTTCGGAAACTGCAAGTAGTTCTAAAAGGGTGGAGATGACCCACAATTTAAAGGACCACTATAGTGCCAGGAAAACATACTCGTTCTCCTGGCACTATAGTGCCATGAGGGTGCCCCCACCCTCAGGGTCCCACTCCCTGCCGGCTCTGGAAGGGGGAAAGGGGTTAAAACTTACCTTTTTCCAGCGCTGGGCGGGGAGCTCTCCTCCTCCGATCCTCCTCCCCTCCCATGCGGCTGAATGCGCACGCGCGGCAAGAGCTGCACGCGCATTCAGCCGGTCACATAGGAAAGCATTCTCAATGCTTTCCTATGGACGCTGGCGTGCTCTCACTGTGAAAATCACAGTGAGAAGCACGCAAGCGCCTCTAGTGGCTGTCAATGAGACAGCCACTAGAGGAAATAGGGGAAGGTTTAACCCATTCACAAACATAGCAGTTTCTCTGAAACTGCTATGTTTATGAAAAAATGGGTTAACCCTAGCTGGACCTGGCACCCAGACCACTTCATTAAGCTGAAGTGGTCTGGGTGCCTAGAGTGGTCCTTTAACTCATTATAAAGATAATAAAAAAGTAGATATTCTAAGCACAATAACCACTACAACATGCTGTTGTGGTCATTGTGCCAGGAGTTTCTTTGTGCTGTCCCACTTTAAGAGTCAAAACGTTTTCAAATGGTTGGATGCTTATCTGGGTTCCCTAAGCAACAGTGGTCTGGCCCCTTGTGACAGACTGCTTGGCCTCCCAACCGGGTACCTGCGTTAATTGCTGCTTCCTAGCACCATAAGCACTGCACTGGAACACCCTAACTACCGTAAACCCCACAAATCGCTGCAGCTTGGTTGGGGTCTCGCTCTCCTCCACCCACCCTGGACCCAAGACCAGGATTCAGCTTCCAGTGGGTAGACCTCTCCTAATTCAGAGAGCGTAGCAGGCTGCTCTTATAAGAACAAGTGTTGTAATCCAAGGGAGTATAGTGTTTATAGCAATCCCCAGAGTGTAAATATAGCTCTCCAATCCCCCAAACATGAGCCTAGACTTCATGAAGGGTAAAACGAATCTCACTTTAATGGTAGCCACAACTGGCCTTTTATGACAGTCCCCATGCACAGTGCTACTGTGATTCCTGATCCTCCTCCCTCCACTTCTGTGTGGTTTGAGAAGTGGAGAGACAGGGATTGGTGCTGAAACATTGTGTGTCAATTTAGTATAGAGTGTATCTGTGTTTTAAAAGTAATTTTAATACTTTTAAAACAGTGTTAACCCTTTCCTTGCCCTTTTGATCACTGCCTGCAGTGATCAGTATACTGATCACAGTATTTAACTGTGATCTAATTTTTTTTTGTACCCTCAAGGGTTAATTTTGAATTATTTTTTTTAACCCTTAGGGGTTAATTTTATTTAATTAATTTAATGTTAATTCCTTAGTTAGCTGGAGTGGGTGGACTTTAGTGGGGATTTGGGAAATTGAGTGTTAGGCTAGTTAGAGACAAAAAGTTTAGAAAGTTCTGAAAAGTTTTTAAAAGTTAAAAAAAGGAAAAAAAAAAAACAGTTTAAAAAAAAAGTTTGTTAAAGTTACACCTTCATAATGTCTAGAAGGTACACTGCTGAGGAGGCTTATGATATACTAGCAGCCGACTCTGACGCCACAGACACTGCCTCTGAGAGTGGTGATGAGACTGTGCCAGATACTGCAGGGCCCTCTGTTGTAAGCCGAGTCCCCTGACCTGGCTCATGACGCTGGTGACTGGGAACCCCTAAATGATTTCACGCCTGACATCCCAGTGTTTACTGGCAGTTCTGGAATTCAGTTGGACGTCACTAACTACAGTGCACTGGATTTCATGCAGCTATTCTTGGGGGATGATATTTTAGGGGATATAGTCACCCAGACCAACCTTTATGCTGTGCAGTACCTGACACTTAATGATCAGAGTCTCATCGCCAGGCAAGGGAGTTGGTACCCCACCAGTGTGCCAGAATTTTGGGCACTAACAATGCTAATGGGCATTATTAAAAAACCCAGCATCAGGATGTACTGGTCCAAAAATCCTGTATGCAGCACCCCTATTTACTCCCAGACCATGAACAGGTCCAGATATGAAGCAATGCTTCGCTTTTTACACTTCAGCGACAATTCGAAGTGCCCCCCAAGAGATAATCCTCAATACGATAATCTCTATAAGATTCGCCCCCTTATTTCCCACTTCAACAGACAGTTTGGCTCAATGTACACCCCACAAAAAAATATTTGTGTAGATGAGTCTCTAATGAAATACAAGGGCAGACTGGGGTTTAAACAATATATCCCGGCCAAAAGATCCCGGTATGGGATAAAGTTGTATAAACTTTGTGAAAGTGCCAGTGGTTATGTTTACACCTTCCGTGTTTACGAAGGTAAAGACAGCCACTTGGATCCCCCAGGTTGCCCGGATATCATTGGGACGAGTGGAAAAATCGTATGGGATTTAATTAACCCATTGCTAAATAAGGGGTATCATTTATTTATAGACAATTACTATAATAGCATCCCTCTTCTTAGGATGCTTTATTGCTTTGAAACTGTGGCCTGCGGCACTATCCGAAAGACACATGTCAGTTTCCCAAAAGCCCTGGCACAAAAAAAGCTCAAGAGGGGGGAAACGGCTGCTCTCTGCCAGGACGAACTGCTGGCTCTCAAATTCAAAGATAAGAAGAGGTGTTCATGCTAACATCTATGCATACTGAGCACACTCGAAGAGTCGCAGTTCGTGGCAGACAAGAAATTAGATGGGTGCCAGTCTGCATTAGGCAGTATAACAAGCACATGGGGGGAGTTGACCTGTCCGACCAACTGCTGCAACCCTATTTAATACTGAGGAAGACCAGGGCATGGTACAAAAAGCTTGGAATTTACCTTATGCAAACGGCAACTCACAATCCCTTTATTCTGTACAAAAAGGCAAATGCTGACATTAAATCCACATTTCTGGATTTCCAGTTTAGCTTATTTCTGGGCTGCTCACTGAGTGCCACAGTGGGGAACCATCAGCTGGGCCTAGAAGCAGAAGGGTTGAGACAGGTCATTTCTGTTTCCGGATACCACCAACCCCCAAAAAGAAGACACCCCATAAAAGGTGCAGGTTGTGCTACCAGAGGGGCATAAGGACGGAAACCAGCTTTTATTGCCCTGATTGCGCCTCTCAGCCCCGCCTTTGTATTGACAACTGTTTTAAAGTTTTTCACACCCAGGGATAATAAGAGAGAGAGAGAGAGAGAGTGTGAGTGAGTGAGTGAGTGAGTGAGTGAGTGAGTGAGTGAGTGAGTGTGTGTGTGTGTGTGTGTGTGTGTGTGTGTGTGTGTGTGTGTTTTTCAAAAAATAGAAAATAAATTTTATAACATTATTTAGTTAAAGTTCTTGTGTTAAAAGTAAAAAATGCTTAGGAAGTTATGAATTCTTTCAGCAGACAGAGTTGACAGGCAGTGCCCCAGAGTTTGATGCAGGTTAATACGGTGATTAATACCTTCTTTAAAAAATGGTAGGCCTTTGTGGGGTAGTTTGAATTATCAGCCTGCTAAGATGCTCTAAAATTGCACATGTACCCAGTGTCAAAATTCAAAGTTTGAAAAAAAACAAACTGATATGGCTTAGTCTCCAATGTGCCCCTTCAACATCCACATATCCCTGAAAAAGATACACCTGGGGGTATTGTTGTATTAAGACGACATAGCTGAGAAACATAATAGGTGTTATACTGCCGTAGCACACATAAGGAATGCAAAATATACAGTAACATCTCGAAGTGTGTGTCAAAAAGGCAGAAAAAAAAATGCTAATTGCTACTAGACTTGGTACAAACTAGCAAAAAAATTACCCTATGCAAGGGTTTAAAATATGCAATTTGAAATACCCTAGAGTGTCTACTTTTACAAACGGTAGGTCTTTGTGGAGGTTTTTCGAAACGGCAAACTGCTATAATGGCCCAAATTGAAACATAGGCCCATCAAATCCGTCTCAAAATTCTACTGTAAATACCGAAATGGACAGGTCTCCTATATGGCATTCTAGCTTCACGAAATAGAGCCAAAGACATACAATGGGGGTATCATTTTACTCAGAAGACTTAGCTGAGCATAATTTTTGGGCTTTGATCATAGTGACACATATCAAATATACAAAAGGCCCAGCAAAAAGTAATGCAGTTGTAAAAAATGTCCAAAATTATTTTTTACCACAAACTTTGACAAACATTGGTGAAAAAAATGGGGGCATGCTAAGGCACAATATGCACCATATGAGATACCCCGGAGTGTCTACTTTTACAAATGGTAGGCCTTTGTGGTTTTTTTTTCCAACAGTCAAACTGCTATAGTGGCCCAAATTGAAACATAGGCTCATTAAATCCGTCTCTCGAAATTCTACTGTGAGTACTGAAAAGGACAGGTCTCTTATATGGCGCTATAGCTTCACGAAATAGTGCCAAAGACATACAATGGGGTTATCGTTGTACTCAGCAGATGTAGCTGAACACAAAATTAGGTTTTGTACAGGAATAGCACACACTAACTTTACGAAATATACATGACAAGTTCTTTATAATTTTGTGTGTCAAAAAAAAAAAAAAAAAAGATTTTAGTCCAATATTTAGCAGGGATTGGCGGTGAAAAGGCTACGTAAAAAGTGTAAAAATAATGTTAGTTAAATAGTCTGATGTTTTCTTTATATAAATATATACTTTTGTGTGGCAATTTTGTTTTCTTTTATTGCTATTAAGCTTACAAGACAAACATACCAAATTCTAAAATCGCTCCACATTAAAAGTTTATTTTACTCCTTGTGTTTTGTGAGCTGTAACTACCAAAAAAAAAACTGAAAATCCCAGACACATTATATATTCTGTAAATCACAACAACTAAATGAATTTTTTTTTAATTACTTTCCTTAACCTGCACAAATTATGCACACATTATTATTGCAAAAACTGAAGAAGAAACCCAATATTTTTACATTTTTGGGCATTTATTTGTATTTTTTTTATAATAAATAAGCATTTATATATGTATATGTTACATCAATTTAAAGCCCTTTTTTCCGTTAAAAAACCGTATATAGCAGGAAGCAGAGACCCAGCGACGAGCACATACCGCTTCCATAAAGAAGGCATCGGTTGAAAAAGTACGTGCCCGGGGACTCACGACCTCGTAACAGCAGGCCCAACATTAGCAGCCTGTGACCTACCCAGCTTGTAACTTACCACTGCACGTTACCACTGTGTTGCCAATTTCCTGTCTTTAAATGTTATAGTGATTAGGATAATGTGATAGTCGATTGCTATTAAGCTTAGTATAACTGCGAACACCGACTATAAAAAAATGAATGATCGCTGTATAGGCTCCATGTTCTACCCATGTTATAGCAACTGAGTTACTAACGCCAGCCTAGTAAAATTAATGCCAACGGAACCTTAATGTACAAAAGGCTTACCTAGTATGACTCAAGCATATACCCAAATATAGTATATATATATATATATATATATATATATAGTATACGCTTCCATAATCTTAATCTTGTCTAGCAAACATATCTCCGGGCTAATGCACACTAAACGAGGTCTCTATCATTACCTGTACTATGCCTGTCTCTACAGCATGAGCCCAGGTTGCTAGCATATGCACTAAAATTGTACCTCTTACATGGAAAAAACCTATCTAGTTCTAGCATGTTACTAATTACCACAGTTACCGCATGAACCAAACATGTTTGCATACCATGTATACCTACATGTAACTCGATACTTTAATGCTATGTTTCTTAAGCCTGATAATATAAAAAATTGTGCCAGTTAAGAATACACCCCGCATGCTCGTGTGGAAAAGCCTGAGGATTACCTTCAGGGTACCTCAAGCATGCCTGTAATATTTACGTGCACTACAAAAAGAATTTAAAAAAAAAAACAGTATATAATATGTGTCGATGCAATAAAATAGTAAAATGCAAATTGCAGTTGAACGCAAACAGCAAAACATGTGAAAATTTCTTGTGCAAGACAAGCTTTTGAAGCTGTGTCCTTAAGGGGTTAAAGATATTGCTATGGTAAACAATCCTACTGCCACAATATATGTTAATAAATCTGTTCTTCATCGAACTGCATTAATATGCAGAGTGTGTCAGTTTGCAAACCTAAGCCAATGATGTACATGCTGTAGTAGTTTTGGTGCTAAGAGTGCTGCTTTTAAAATACATAAATAAATAAATAAAAAATGATACTTTTCTATGAAGTTCCTGCATTTCCATCAAATTACCAGTCTTTACCAGGTAGTGGCTCAGCCAATCCACAAAGTGATAAAAGCAAGCCAACACCTCCAGCCATTAAAGTGGTGATTACCAAATAAGATAATGTAGCGTTTCAATGGAAACATAGCTATTCTATGATAACATAAGGATGGTCTATCACCACCCTTCTATTTTTGCCTGAATATAGATAGATATGCTTCTATTTTGGGGAGTCCAGGGTGTCCTAGGGTACTGTCTCCTCTCCTCTCCAATCACGAATTTCGGAGGGGGGCTTTTTTTCCTAATGTACCTCTGTTACATTTATCTACTTACCGCTGTGGTTTCTGTGTGATCTGTGTCTCATGTCAGGGGCTATATCACTTCTGGATATCCCCTATATTGTATATTGTCAAGCGAGACACATTATCTTCCAGAGAGCCTTTACAGCAGGGACGGCTACATATATTAATTAGCACTCATCTGTGCTCCCTTGTGGCTCCGTTTTCTACCTGGGTATACTTTTTTGAGGCAACCCCAATAGTGACCACAGTTTAGCTCCACTAATACATCGGCATTGTAACTACTGCCAAGCACCTAGGATCCTAGTTACACTATTCACGTATTTTACCGTTATTAGCGCTATCTGGTCTCCTAATGAAGTCTTGTGTGGACCAGTCTGCTTTCTTGCTCCCTTTCTCTCTCTAATTTGTCCATATATTGGATGTCCCTATGGCCTTACCTTGACCTCTCTGAGGCTTTACTACTATTTACCCTAGTGGACTCTACACACATATACACACACACACATATATATATATATATATATATATATATATATATATATATATATATATATATATATATATATATATATATATATATATAATGTATACAGGAGCATGTTCCCAGGCTTTTAACCCTTTACCCTCACGTGACCTTCACATATATTTTTTTTGGTGTCTACTTAGGGTAGGTTTCATACCTATATCTTTAATTTTTGCTTATTTTTAGTTCCTATTTGTCTTCAACAATAAAAGGTTATTACCATTTTATCTGTTATGTTTATTCTAGAAGGTAATTTTGGAATGAGACCAAATCCCATTCACCTTTGAGTGAGTGGTTTTTCTATCCCATTCTTTCAGTTTGTAGCAATTTGACTTGTTGTGGGGTTAAGCCCCCTTTTTACCTCCTGTAACCTTTTTTGGGGTTCTGTCCAACATCACCACTCCTATCTCTTATTTATTATGCTTCTATTTTGTTTAGCTATTGCCCTAAGCTATGGAGTAATAGTAAAATAAAGGTAAACGAACAATAATTTAATCTTCTGCATACATTAGTTTTAATGATTCTAGAGATAATGTACTCTTTAGTAAAGAGGAACTGTCACTTTGACAGTTCCTTGATCCTTCCCTCCCAAAAATGCTACTCCAGCACTCACTAGGATGAACAGAGCAGTGGAGGCAAGTTAAAAGGTCCTGGACAAATCAGGCACACCTGGGATATAACTCCGTTTTGCTGTCCGAATGCATGCACTGTGAGTACACCCTATGGGTTAAATCAAAGAAGCCATAGAGAATCTAAGAAGTAAAATTGCATAACCTACTGATAAAGTTTAGTTAGATTCTAGGTAACACTAATATTGAGGAAGTGATACTCTTTAACAATAAAATAAAAGTATCTAGGTCAGCACTACATGAATATTTCACGGTAGCCTTCTGTATTCTATGAATATTTCAACAGCTCTGACTGAAGTAACAGGATAGTGAGGATCTGTTACAGGTTTGTGAATGGCATTTACACAAATGTGCTACTTTTAAAGGAGTAGAAAATATCTCCCTTAAAACAAGCACTTTGAAACTTATATCCCATCTAATTAAATTTGAGTCAAAAACAGAATATGCACACTGTATACTGAAGCTTTAAACTTTTGTCAATCAAAACAACATATTTTAATATCCTCATCACAGTCATTAAAGGTAAAGACACAAGAAAACTAATCCAACAAATAATTTTTTATCTATTTGTTCAATATTTATGTAATATTGACATTTATATAAAGGCCCTTTTTGGGCATGGTTTGCTTATAAACTTTCAAACTGGCAAGGTAAGTCCCCTGGATGACGGGGAAGGTATGTGCCGCTTTGCGGGTTTAGGACCATCCCCTTAAGGATGGCATAGAACGCCCGCCGTCCTTAAAAGCATTAAAAAAAAAAAAAAGGTTCTATAATAATACAATACATATCGCATATAAAAGGAAAAAAAAAAAATATATATTATATATATATAAAAAGTTAAAATATTTAAATATTAATTATTTAAACAGTTAATCCAAAAATATGAAATCATTTAAAAAGTTTATCAAAAATATATTAAAATATATTAAAAATTATTGTGATAAAACAAAGGATATATACTTGTAGAATACCTTGACCCATAAAATATTAAAACAGAATACCATGAAAATAAATGTGAGACTTACTTGTATCAGATCTAAAATGCCAAGCTCACTCTCTGACGAATCCACACAAAACACAAAATATAATGTTGCATAATGACGATATATGAGCTTGTTGTCAGAGCCCCCTATCAGCCTATGAAACAGAAGAATACATTAGTATATTTATCATACGATTGTTTGATGCATCACGAGGTATCAGTAAAACTCTACCTCCCCAATAAAGTATAGGGTTGGCAAAGTAACTTTACCATTAAAAAAATAAAATACTTTTTTTTCGGTTACATGTTTTGCTTTATTTGTATATATATTTTATTTTTTTTATTTTTTTTAGAGCCTTAAAAAGTAATCTTGGTAGTACATGGAAAGATTCACGACAGGACATGTGAAAATGATTGCATTTTACTTTGAACATCAGCATTCCATGGTTTTAAATCAAAGCGTATGTATGCGCCATTTTCACAAAATAATTCGACCAAACACTGGCCTTGGCCCTCCATTCAGTGTGAAACCATTTTCAAGCAGTTTAACACTAAATAAGGGTCCCTGGCCCTACTGGAGGTAGAGATTACACACTTCATTCTACCCATACCAATTCATACCAGCAATGGGCACTGTGACTGGCTGAAAGCGTTCAGCTGACACTCTCAGCTGCCCATTGATGCTCAAACTAATGCTTCCTGATTAGCTCAAACAACATAGAGGGTATGGGCTGCCGTGAAGTCTTGTTTAGGATGATAGCATTGAAGGACAGTGCCAGGCACCTCCAGACACTATAACCACTTGAAATGAGATAACACAGTTACAGTCCCTACAGTGTTCCTTTATTTAGAGAAACATAAATTGTAGATTCAAATCTGAAATACACAAATAGAAAGACTAAATATTTCAGACTCTTTATTCAGATTATTGAACAGCATGTGTCTATTTAACCCCTTAAGGACCAAACTTCTGGAATAAAAGGGAATCATGACATGTCACACATGTCATGTGTCCTTAAGGGGATAAAAACTGTACAGGTACTTGCACATTGATGGAGAGATCACTAGAAAAGCACCAGGATCTGGGAATTTGCTGCAAATGATGGATACTCACAATAGAGCATTTGTTTGTGTTAATGTTGAAGTTTTTTATTTAAAAGGGCTATGTAACATATTAGCTAACCATCTGTAAAGCTCATTCAAAAGCAATAACAAAGAATAATGAAGCAGCAAATACTGACAAATACCTATCCTAGAGGCATTTTATCTCTTCTGTCTCATTGCTGTACTTTATTATTACTTAATTTTAAGTTTTGGATCGTACAAAAATACACTGTATACAATTATTGGCTGCTCACTGTTATAAAAATAAAATAAAATAAAAAAAAAAACACCCTCTTATTATCCCCCCCTCCCGAGCCCCCACCCGTGCCACACGAGTGGGGGCTATTAAATTGAAGGGGGGACCTAGAATCTTTACGAATACTAAGTGAAAATTACTTGGTATTAGTAATTCATTTGCCCCTACTCGCTATGCCGCGGGTAGGGGTATGTTTAGTAAACAGTGAGCAGCCTGTGGTGCTCACGCTTGTAAAAACAAAATTAAAATAAATAATCCCCACCCCCCCCGCCCCCCCCAAATAAATGGGCCCATGGTGGGGCATCTTTTAACTAGCCTGGGGGGTAACATAGTGTCCCCAACATGCCCCCACCCGTGCCCCGCGAGGGGGCTAGTCAAGTAAACAGGGGACATGAAGTCCCCCTTGGCCCCCACCCCTGAGCGGCGGGTGGGGGCCCCTATATGACAATAAGGGGACGGACGACACCTATTGTCCTCCCCACCAGCCCCCATCCATGAGCGGCGGGTGGGGGCCCTAAATGAAAATGGGGGGACCTATTGTCCTCCACCAGGCCCTAAATTACAATAAGGAGGAGGCACCTTTTGTACCTATGAGCGGTGGGGGGGAGGAGGAGGACAATAGGTCCCCCCCTTATTGTAATTTAGTGTCCCCACCCACCGCTCATGGGTGGGGGGAGGAGGACAATAGGTGTCCTCCCCTTATTGTAACTGGATTTGGCCATGACAGTGAAGCTTTAAGATTAATAAAAGCTGTAAATATTACAGAATCTTATAACATACCATTTATCGATAAGGTATTAACGAATATTGTCATTGACAGATCAACAATAAGTGTGACTACGAATTTTCTGACACATTTTACCACATTATTTCAATGTGTTTTGGTTTTTATATTAAAAAATACAACACATCAGACAATGCACTCCTCAAGCAGATTGCATCTAAACCTCATAAGCATATAGACTATGAGACTAGAAGAAAGTAACCTGAGCAGATGCTCTACTGCTACTGAGAGTCATGCTCTACTGCTACTGAGAGTATTAGTTCTAAAAGATTAACCATTTAGAGCTACAAAGTACTTTTGTATTTGGGTAGTCATGTGACATACTAGCTTCAAGTGGTCACTTTTAGGATTATAATCTCTAATTAAAAAGGGTTCAGAAAACAATGGTGTTCCACATTATTAAAGTTAAATACTTACAAGCCGCCTTCTAAGAAATTGCAAACATTCTCATCTCTTTTGGACACTAAATGGAATGTTTCTCTGATGATTTGTTGTTGTGTATCTTCACTCTGCAAGTAAGGAGAAAATATGCATATATAAACAACATTGACAAAAGAACAAAAAGAAGACCAAGATGGAGTATCTTCAATCTGACAATGGTGTGTCGGTTCCAGTGCACTTGGTGATTAAAGGGACACTAAAGTCACTAGAACAACTACAGCTTGTTGTATTTGCTCTGTGAGTATAATCATTCACTGTAGACTTTTTGCACTAAACACTATCTTTTAGAAGAAAATGTAGTGTTTACATTATAACCTAGGGATACCTTCACTGGCCACTCCACAGATAGCTACTATAGGTGCTTCCTGGGGCAGTGCTGCACAATGTGCAGCAATGACATTCAGTGTCTCCACCCACTGCATGGAGACATTGAACTTTCATCATAGAGATGCAATGATTTAATGCATCTCTATGATGAGATGCAGACTGGCCATGGCTGTGCTGGCTCTGCCTCTGATCTGCCTCCTTGACAAGCTCAGCCAATTTAATGTTTCTCTATAAGAAAGCATTATGATTGGCTGAGATCACCACTACTGATGATGTCGGCCAAGGATGCAGATCAGGGGCAGAGCCAGCACCAGCAGATGGGAATAAAGGCAAGATTTTACTATATTTATATTTTGGATGGCAAGGGGGGGCCAGCGGGGCTTTATGGTAATTGTAACACTATAGGGTTAGGAATACACATTTGTGTTCCCGACCCTATAGTGTTCCTTTAATATTTAGCTCATACTTTTATGGTTTGATCAAAAAGGTCAGTTATAACGGTCACACAGTATTCAAGCAATTATGTTTACTGGTCTCTTCAGTATTGGTCATAGACTCCACAAAGATATAGTAAAATGATGTTCTCGAACTTGAGTGCACTGTTTGCGACGGAACTACTAAAAAAAAACCCCAAAAAAAGAAACAGCTTACGATATTTTTATCCAGTGGCAATTTTTATAAGCAGTAAGGAATACATCATTAGAAGATCATAGCTATAGTAAACACTTTTACTCACTCTCAATTACAGCTCTGTTACCTCCATTTCTGAAATGCCATTGTGGAAATGGTGGAGGCGGAGCTATGCTCTGCTTCATGTCGTACCAAGGGTAGCAAGCAGTGATAGGTTGAGAGTGTCAAATAAGTGCTCTCGGACATCCACCAACTCAATCCTTGGTATACATTGGTATGGACAAAGTGGCCAGCATAGCTCCACCTTCAGCATCATAATTGGAGCCTGGGCTGCAGGTTGTCTGTGACTGAGCATCTGTACTAAACTGTGAGTAAACTATTTAGCAGTGATGCAGGATCTGGCCCCCATAGACTGCAGGCACCTTAACTACTTCAGTCAGTTGAAATGGGTATGGTGACTACCTCACAACATGTTAAATGGATAAAGAAGGACACTTAAATATTAGAGGTGAGCTGTTCAGAGAGGTTTTAGCTAGGTTACTACTAATAATTCTGGAACTAAAATGTTATTTAGAACAAGAATAAGGTATCTTATTTACACAGACTGATTCTAAACATGTTTATAGTAGTTTTTAAAGACTCATTAATGCAAGTATTATTGCTGTGGAGCTCTGTCATACACACCAAAAATACAGAGCTACTAGAAATTAGGTACATTAGGATAGAAAAGAGGGACAGAGGGATTTGAGGGAAATGGGGACTGTCCCTCCTAAATACGGACACTTGCGAGGTATGATAGTGCCTATAGTGGCTCATCATTACAGCTCAAAGTAAAACGAATTGAAGAAAAATGAAAAACCATATTCAGCCCATGAAAGACCTTACAGAGAGTCCTACTTAATGATTCACATTACAGTCATGTGATAAACAGCAGACAAGGAGAAACCATTATCTTTAACACATGATTCCATTCTTAAAACTCTCAATAATATACTGCAATGTGAAATTATTTGGTACATTTTTTTTTAAATAAAACCACAGATTTTTACACATTTCTAATGAGTCTGGATTTTAGGTCAATGCAGCTTAACTGAAGACATAATACGAACGTTCATGTAACCAAAAAGAACTTTGTGAATGAAGCAAACAAAATTAATATCTTTGGACTATGGTGGATTCTTGCACAGTGTATAAAATGCTCGGATACATGTTCTATTTTGCTAATGTAGTAAACACTGAAGAAAACAAAATGGTCTTGATTTTTTTTGAAAACCTTACAAATGTACAAATTGTTAATGCTCATTTATCACTGGCAATTTCAAAACGTTAGCACAATGTTGGATGTGTGTAGGTTGCCTGATTGAATCATTTTGCTCTGGTAACAACAGAACCAATTACAAGAAACATCCATATTGCCAACTGCTTCACCGGAACATGTGAAAATGGATTATAAAATAACAATACATGCACAGTACGAGATCTATCCTTCTTAAATGTAAAGAGTTTTATTTTACTATGATATACACAATATAATCTTATTTTACTTTACAGGTGACTGTATTTTATCCACAGTCACTTTAGCATAATATAGAGATGGCAACCTCTGGCATTGCTGCTGTGTATTTGCTATCACAGGATAACCTCTGGATTACTAGCTGCTATGTAAACTATCACAGAATAACCTCTGGCACTTCCGTTGTTGCATATTAGGTATCACAGTGTAGCCAGTGGTACTCTAGTTGCTATGAACTGGGCACCAAAGATACAAGGTATGCCAGGATAACCTCTGGCACTAAAGATACTGTGTACTGAGCATCCCAGAACAACCTCAAACACTCCAGCTGCTGTGTACTGGGTATCCAAGAATAACCTCTAGCTTTCCAGTCACTGTATATTGGGTATCACTGAAAAACCTCTGGCACTCCAGTTGCTAGATACCGGGTATCACAGGATATCATCTGGCACTCCAGTTGCTAGATACCAGGTATCACAGGATATCATCTGGCACTCCAGTTGCTATATACTGGGTATCACAGGATAACCTCTGGCACTCCAATCGCTATATACTGGGTATCACAGGATAACCTCTGGCACTCCAATCGCTATATACTGGGTATCACAGGATAACCTCTGGCACTCCAATCGCTATATACTGGGTATCACAGGATAACCTCTGGCACTCCAATCGCTATATACTGGGTATCACAGGATAACCTCTGGCACTCCAGTTGCTAGATACTGGGTATCAATCACACTCCAGTTGCTAGATACTGGGTATCAATCACACTCCAGTTGCTAGATACTGGGTATCACACTCCAGTTGCTAGATACCGGGTATCAATCACACTCCAGTCGCTAGATACCGGGTATCAATCACACTCCAGTTGCTAGATACTGGGTATCAATCACACTCCAGTTGCTAGATACTGGGTATCACACTCCAGTTGCTAGATACTGGGTATCACACTCCAGTTGCTAGATACTGGGTATCAATCACACTCCAGTTGCTATATACTGGGCATCACACTCCAGTTGCTATATACTGGGCATCACACTCCAGTTGCTATATACTGGGCATCACACTCCAGTTGCTAGATACTGGGCATCACACTCCAGTTGCTAGATACTGGGTATCAATCACACTCCAGTTGCTATATACTGGGTATCACACTCCAGTTGCTAGATACTGGGTATCACACTCCAGTTGCTAGATACTGGGTATCACACTCCAGTTGCTAGATACTGGGTATCAATCACACTCCAGTTGCTATATACTGGGTATCACACTCCAGTTGCTAGATACTGGGTATCACACTCCAGTTGCTAGATACTGGGTATCACACTCCAGTTGCTAGATACTGGGTATCACACTCCAGTTGCTAGATACTGGGTATCACACTCCAGTTGCTAGATACTGGGTATCACACTCCAGTTGCTAGATACTGGGTATCACACTCCAGTTGCTAGATACTGGGTATCACAGGATGCTGGCTGATAGCTGGGCTGGCAATAAGGGGCATGGTGGCGTCACTCACGTAGTGCTGGTAGAACTTGCACAGCCGGGGCTTGCCATGGTTATTGAAGATCAGTATGGCTTTGATCATGGTGACGCCGCCAGACCGCAGCTGGTGACCCGACACGGCGACGCTCACTGAGCTTCCAGCGGCTCCGAGCTCTGTTAATATGACGGCCTCCGGGGGTCTCCGCGCTTCGGTCTCATACAGTATAGCACCTGCAGTGGACACTTCCCTGGACACGTCACGGAGATCACATGACCAGCGCCGGTCCTAGCCAATCCGCGAGCTGCTGGGACGTCATGCAGCCTAGAGCGGCCATTCCTTGCTCTGTCTTTTAGAGTTCTAAACACTAAAGGAGCTCAGTACTTAGAACCATAACTGCACGATTCAAAAGAACTCCAGAATAAAGGCGTTTAGAGCTCTGCAGATTTGGACGTCATTGCAGTGCGACTATTGGCATTCGGTTGAGTCTAGTTCCTATCCAGTAGAAGGACCCTGTCCTTTCTGAGTATAGGGAATATCTTGCTCAGTGTAAGCTAGTTCCTATCCTGCTAAAGGACCCTTTTTAGACCCTGTATAGGGATAGGAACTAGACAGCTCACAGTGAGAGAGAGCTACTTCATGTCCTGTTAAAGGACCTATTGTTCCATCGTGTACAGGTCCTCTTAACCCCTTTAAGGACACGACATGTGTGACATGTCATGATTTCCTTTTATTACAGAAGTTTGGTCCTTAAGGGGTTAAATGATAGTAACTAGACAGCTCACAGTGAAAGATCTGAATTTCCCATTCAGCATAAGGACCTTTACACCTCCAGCTAACAATGGTCCTTTACCGTGATCAGAACTAGAGGGCTCACAGTGAGAAATATAATTCCTAGCCAGCAGAAGGATTTGTATAGCTCCAGCTAATAATGGCTTTTATAGGGATAGTAATGTCTAGTTCCTGTACTGTTAAGGGACCTTAATACCTTCCGCTAACAGTGGTCCTTTACAACGATAGAAACTGGATGGCTCACAGTGGAAAATCTAGTTCCCATGCATGAAAAGGATCTGTATACCTTCAGCTAACAGGGGTCCTCTACAGGGATAGGAACTAGACGGCTCACAGTAAGAAATCTAGTTCCCATCCAGCAAAAGGACGGTTATAGGTCCAGCTCACACAGATCCTTTACAGGGATAGTAATATCTTGTTCCTATACTGCTAAGGGACCTTTATACCTTCCGCTAACAATGGTCTAGACATGTGCACCAGTGAAATTTTTGTTTCGTACGAATGATTTCGTATTAAATGAAAATGTCATTCATCAATCCCGAATTTCGCCCGCAAACCATTCATTTTCCAATAAAATTTGTTAAAAAATTAGTTTTTGTTCGTTGAGACGAAAACAGCACTGCGCATGCTCAAAAAAAAAAGGCAAGGAGGGAGCCGGCAGCACTACCAGCTTCCTCCTTGTAATAAATAACCATTCCTACCTCCCCCCCGCATTAAAATCGATGGGGGTCACTATGACCCCCATATTAATGAAAGGGAGGTTAAATCCTCCCACAGTAGGGGCATGCCGCCTAAATAAATTTAAAACTACTAGTGACTGGGCAGCTCGCTTTTATTTCAAACTAAATATAAATCAATATGGGGGTCACTATGACCCCCATATTAATAAAAGGGAGGTAAAATCCTCCCGCATACCCTTACTCTCGGCATGCCGCAAATAGGGGCATGTCGCCTAAACAGCGAGCAGCCAGTGGCTGCTTGCTGTCATTAAAAACTACTAATGACTGGGCAGCTATTGGTGGGGAATAACTAGGGGCTTGGGGACCCCTAGTCACTTTATTATTTGTGGTCCCCACCCGCTGCTCATGACCAGGTCTCCCCTTATTGCACTAGTGACTGGGCAGCTATAGCTTTTAATGGGGGTGGGGGAGAGGGGGAGGAATTAATATTACAAGGAGGGAGCTGGTAGTGCTGCCAGCTCCATCCTTGTTTGTTTGTTTTTTTCACGCATGCGCAGTGTTATGTCTCTGTGCTGTGGGGGTTAATTCCCATGCAGCACAGAGTCTATTAAACAAATGAAATGAAAAGGTAATGCATTCAACAGTTGCCCTTTCATTTAGTTTATATTTCGTATGTAGGGCTTTAGTTTACGTTTTAGTAAACAAATACAAAAAAAACTGAATTTTCGGATGAAATCTTATTCGTACGAAAACGAATGCACACGTCTACGTTATAGATCCAGCTCACACAGATCCTTTACAGGGATAGTAATACCTAGTTCCTATACTGCTAAGGGACCTTTATACCTTCAGCTAACAATGGTCCATTATAGGGATAGGAACTAGAGGGCTTACAGTGAGAAATCTAGTTCCTATTCGGCAAAAGGACCTTTATAGCTCCAGCTTACACAGGTCATTTACAGGGATAGTAATACCTAGTTCCTATACTGTTAAGGGACCTTAATACCTTCTGCTAACAGTTGTCCTTTACAGGGATAAGAACTAGATGGCTCACAGCAAAATAACTTTTACAGCTCTAACTCTACCGGGATAGTTCCTATACTGCTAAGGGACATTTAAACCTTCAGTTAACAGTGATCCTTTACAAGGCTAGGAATTCCTAGTTCTTATACTGCTAATGAATCTTTATTCATTGCAAATTTCTCAGCCAAAGGGAATGATTTTAACTTATGTGTAGCACAAAACAGCACTTACTGAGATCTGAGCTTGTTACACGCAAAGACCTGCTGCAGCCCTTGCGGCTCATGATGACTGGATGCTGCGGGCAAGTAGGGAGACTGAGTTGCTCTCAACTTGGTAAAACTGTAGCAGTGTTGAAAGTGGGGGACATTGCGTTTGTGGGTGCATGTCAATGTGAAAGTAAAAGGATGCAATTGTTGGCAGTGGAGAAATTGGAGTGTGTAGTATATAGACCCACGTATGAGGGAGGATACAGGTATATGGCACTGTGATTAGATACAACACCCATATTCATGAGATTGTTTTGAAATAAAAGTCACATAAACACACTGAATCTGTTGATGCTGAGATTTTTTTTTTCTTTTGACTTCCGCAGTGTCATTTTCTATCTATATTTATTGTTTAGTTTAAGGCTGCTGGTCTGGTTTGTTTCTGACTTCAACATTTTTCCATTTGTTGTGGACTCATAGAGGGTGATTTTTTTCAGGGAGCAGCAGTCGCAAATGTCTCAGGAAAGTGCGAAAAGGTGCATTGGCCGTTATATTTATAACATCTATTGCCCCTGCTTTATACATCACCTTATATATCGCAAGCACGTCACATGCGTAGTATAGCACATGACCATCTTTGTTCCCCCTCTTCTAGTAAGACCCTATCGCTACACCCTCCTATTCTAAGAACACCCCGCCTAGTAATGCCCCCTAGATAAACTTAGTGTGGGGACTCACCTGGCAGCCCAGGTAGTCCTCCTCCGTCCGGTTCGGCCCCCCTGGGCCATGTGATCACGAGGTCCTTGCGAGGACCTTGGGATCACATGGATGGCATAGCTGTTCAAGGCAGTGTCAGCAGGGGGAGTGCCTGTATTGACAGGTACTCTCCCTGCTGCCTGAAACAAAAATAATGAAAGTTTAAAATAGTGTAAAGTTAAGTATATACATACACACACATATATACATATACATAATCTAAGTGTATTTTAATATTAATATATATATAATTATATATATTAATATCAAAATACACAAATGATATTGATTAAATATATATATATAATTATCATTATATATATTTATATATAATATAAAATAAATAAATATGTAAATATGTAAAAAATATAATAATTTAAAAAAATATATATATGTGTAAATTCGTTCTAACTGTATTTTAAAATTAATATATATATATTGATATCAAAATACATGTAGAACAAAATAATATATATGTATATACATAAGTATATACATATATATCACTATATATATATATATATACACATACACACACACACACACACACACACACAGACCTATATATAAATAAAAATAATTTTTAAAAATTATATACACACACACATATATATATACACACACACATATATATATATATATTTATATATATATATATATATTATAATTCTACGTATATATTTGTGTAATAAATTTACATAATTAGGTCATTTTATTAATTACAATTTGTGGGACCTGCCTGACAATCCAGGCCAAAAGTCCAGGGAATTTAATTTGCTAGCACTATATTTAACCCTGTAACTTTCCAAGACACCATAAAACCTGCAAATGGGGGGTACTGTTTTACTTGGAAGACTTCGCTGAACATAAATATTAGTGTTTCAAAACAGTAAAATGTATTACAACGATTATATCGTCAGTGAAAGTGCCATTTTTTGCATATTTCACACACAAATGGCACTTACACGGGCGATATTGTTGTGATACGTTTTACTGTTTTGAAACACTAATATTTGTGTTCAGCGAAGTCTCTTGAGTATAACAGTACCCCTCATGTACAGGTTTTATGGAGGTTTCAAAAGTTAGAGAGTCAAATATAAGGCTTGCATTTTAGTTTTTTCACATTGAAATTCGCCAGATTGGTTACGTTGCCTTTGAGACCGTATGGTAGCCCAGGAATGAAAATTACCCCCAATGGCATACCATTAGCAATAGTAGACAACCCAAGGTATTGCAAATGGGGTACGTCCAGTCTTTTTTAGTAGCCACTTAGTCACAAACACTGGCCAAAATTGGCGTTCAAATTAGTTTTTTGCATTTTTCACACACAAACAAATATTAACACTAACTTTGGCCAGTGTTTGTGACCAAGTGGCTACTAAAAATACCCCATTTGCAATACCTTGGGTTGTCTACTTTTGCAAATGGGATGTCACCATGGGGATAACTCCGCAACGTCTCCTAGGCGCGTTTCACCTGGTATGCAGGCTTTCTCAATTGATGCATTCTAACTTTTTCTCCTCTTTTAAAAGGGGATTTCCTGAGGTGTTGATCCAATAAAATGCGCAATGTGGCAGGTGTTTGTAATCCTCCAATCACTTCATCCTTTCATACCTTGCTTTGTTTGTGGGAAAAAGGGGGAAGGAGTATACATCACATCCGTTTCTCGGGAACGTTCATTTCCCGAACATGTTTTTCTGTAGTATAAAACTACAGGGTCCATAAGTGTTAGCACTCAGGTCCATTTAAAGTACCAAATTTAAAGAAAGTGAGAAAGAAATAAAAAGACAAGGAAAAAATAAGGGGACAAAGATTATATCTGGATATCTCAACTGATTTACTGTAACATTAAAATTTGATTCTAAACCCGACTTTAAAATATTTTAAAACTCGCAAAAT